ACTGCTAAAGGTATTCAGTATTTCTCAATTTGAGGCATCAGCACAGGGCTCTGGACTGCCTTTGGGGTGTAGTGGGGAAATGTGCACCTCCACCAGGAAAAGTTATTTAGGTTCTATAAGCTAACAGCCAAGCAAATGATGGTTTCATACCCTAAGGCTCTTCCTTGCTATAATACTTGAGGGGAAAATGATGGAAAGCTCCTAGCTGAATAGAGAGAGAACCTAACGTAGTCTCCCAGTTGAAGTCAGTGTTTTAATACAACGTCCTTATTGATGTTTTTTTCTCCATTCAAGGATGACCTCTCTGCCAGTCCCCAGCTGTTTAATCCTATGAGCCCCTATGACGTGGACCTTCCAATTCAAGTAGCTGAAGATGTATCATTTGGTTCTCAATTTAATCAGCCCAAAGAGCTTCCTGCAGACTTCTCCTCCGTGGACCTCAGCTTTCTTCCAGACATTACCCAAGATAACAAAGAACAAAATCCATCTGAAGATGGTCATGAAATGCAAGGAGGGCTCAATGGATCAGTGCCGAGCAATGAGGACAGAGGGATCTTCATGGAGGAAAGCAGCCCGTCGTACCCAGGTGCAACGCAGCCAAGCCCAGGAGAACCTGGTGTGTGTCCTCCCCTGACACCAATGACTCCTATGACCCCAGTGACACCTGCATCAGAGAGCTCTGGCATAGTTCCTCAGTTACAGTAAGTTGATGTTGCATGTGTAGCATGAGAAGAGCAGCACCATCCTCACAGTACCACCATTGCTGACCCAGCTCTGTTAAAGGCTGGAGAGTAGCTCACACCTGTGAAGACAAATGTACTCTTTCCTTAGGAGAGCTCTAGGAAGTCTGTAAATACACAGCAGCGGTGCAATTCAAAGCTGTAAATTACTTCAGTGATTTAGTTACTGGAAGACAAATAAATGCAGTACGTTGGGACTAATAATTTTGTATCTGGTTATGTTTCCTCTTCTGAGAAATTAATTTTGGTATTGAATGGCTACAGTTTGGCAAAAATAGCTTAGTGCTGAAGTGGGAAAGAGGTGGGCAGTAAATTAAATGTTGGCAACTGTTAACAGGGCTGTGACTCCACATTAGCTACTAATAATTGTGGGGTTTTGCTCTGTAACAGCTTCTTTCTGCAATGTGACAAATCTTTCTCATTCTTCAGGAATATTGTGTCAACTGTAAATTTGGCTTGTAAACTAGATCTGAAGAACATAGCTCTGCATGCCAGAAATGCAGAGTATAACCCAAAGGTAAATCCTGAGGGCTGAGCTTTATTCCTATTCCCTTCTCTCAGTGCTGCTGGACTCCAATATACAGATATGCACCCTGAACTTCATCCCTTTTCTAACAGCAATGTCTTGACCTACAGCCCTTGCTGGGGAAAAGAAAGATATGTCCAAAAGCTAAAAGAAAGGGAATTACTTGGGTCAGAGTGGTACTGTGCATCTCTATGCTGTAGAAATGGACTGGGAATAAGTTGGGTTCATGTAGGTGACTCCAGGCTCAATAAAATTTAGGTTTAGTTGTTCTAAATGCCCAAGTCATGGGTGGAGGGAAAGTATAATAATTTCAGGGTGGTCAATAAATCCTTTTGCAAAGTAACTGCATGCAGTGCTGAGCTCTGTGGTAGTGGGAATTCTTTGAAAGAACGAACAGACGTGGTACTGAGGAAGGGTAGATGTGGCACTGAGGGACACGGCCTAGTGGGCACAGTGGGGTGGGCTGGGGTTGGGCTTGGTGATCTTAGTGGTCTTTTCCAACCTTTGTGGTTCTGGTTCTATGATTCTTTCAGCTTGACTCTGAGGTTTGCCTTTGAATTTCTAGAGGTTTGCTGCTGTGATCATGAGGATCAGGGAACCACGAACGACGGCCCTTATCTTCAGCTCGGGAAAAATGGTTTGCACAGGAGCAAAAAGGTACTTGTTTCTTTTGCCTCCTCAAAGGTCTTTCAGCTGTACCTGTACTTCCTCAGCTCAGCCTTGTTTAAATTACCTAGCAAAGGGTTTGCTATCAACTGCAAGAAAAATGAAGCTCTAGTCCTGAAAATGTTTTCTTTGTGGCAGGAGTTCTGTAATTACTGACCTGCGTGCTTCTGCCCCTGAATACAGAATAGCTGAGTAGGTATTAGCAGAAAAGCTGCTAAGATGCCCAGGAGTTGTTAAGGGGTTATTTGCATTTCTCACTGACTTTAAAGTGAGTTGAGATGTAATTTGTGTCTGTCAAGTTTCTTTGGTGTCAGCTCACTAGACGACACATATGCTTGTGGTGAAAATGGGGGCTGGAGAAAAGCAAAGATGATTTCTGTACTCTGAAGGCCCTGCTCTCAAATTCAGCAGCTGCCTCAATATGTTATTCTTCTTTAAGACTCTAAACTGCCCGTGAGATGATGCATTGACTCATGGCTCAGGAAACCTCTTCTCCAACCCCCACCTAGCTGGATGGCCACACTGATATCTGTGGTCTCCCTCCTGGATCAGCCCTAATTGAAGGGATGAGATAATGCTGCAAGGCATTACTTACACAGTGGAAACCCTTGGTGATGTAATGTGCTCATATAAACCACAGGAAAATGAGCACCACAGCACGCTATTCTTTATAGCTCACTGAAGTGCTTCTGGGGATAAGAGCTTACTATTTCGAGCAGCAGCAGAGTAGCATGGTGGTGGCTCTACGTGGAATTCCAGCTTCAGAGCAGACGAAAGCCCTCAGGGCTGCTTCCCCCTTCTGCTCTTCCCCTCAGTGAAGAGCAGTCACGGCTCGCAGCAAGGAAATATGCGCGTGTGGTGCAGAAGCTGGGGTTCCCTGCCAAGTTTCTGGACTTCAAGATCCAGAACATGGTGGGGAGCTGTGATGTGAGGTTCCCCATCCGACTGGAAGGGCTGGTTCTCACCCACCAGCAGTTCAGCAGGTATGTGGGAGAAGTGGGTTATGGCCCCATGGAGCTTGGAACGTTCTTTGTAAGCTGTAAAGAGGCTCAAATTCTGGAGCCTGGCAATTTAACGTAATAATTAACTGAGTGCTGAATATCAAGCGTATCTTTGGCTCACCAGAACTGGTTCAGCAGGCGAGAAGTGGCTGTAAATTCCACGTAGGGATAGCAAGGCATGCTTTCTGCACTAACTCCTGTTCTGAGCAGGGCTCGGGCCAAAGCGACCCTTGGCTTAATTACAGCAGTGGCACAGTTGCAGTAAAGCCTACAGCAGCATGATAGCAATGAACCCATCTTGAACTTCCTTCCCTGTGCTGTTTGCTGCTTTCTCCTTGTAGGATGTCTAAGAGCAGCTAATGACCAACATTTTGTGTCTCCTATTATTGCCAAGTCCGATGCTAAAGCTCAGAGGGAGACTGCAGACCATGTACAAAAGGAAAAAAATAACCTTGATTAAATAATTCAGGTTTAATTGAGGCAACTCTTAAGCTATTTGAACCTATGGAAAATGGGATTCAAAAGTCTCTAACAGGAAGCACAGGGCACTCCTACCAGCTCTGCTGGGGTTTACTACATTTCTGTTCAAGATATTTAGACTTTGACCTGTCTTTTTCTGGGTAGCTAGCTATAATCTGTGGGTTTAGCTTCCTGCTAGTATAGTCATAGAGCATTTCATCATGCAACACTGAAACAGCACTTGCATTTCACTAATTTTACCTGCTTGTTTTCAAACAGCTATGAACCTGAACTATTTCCTGGCCTTATTTATAGGATGGTCAAACCGAGGATAGTGTTGCTCATCTTTGTGTCTGGAAAAGTTGTTCTGACTGGTAAGTGGTCTCGTATTATCCGTAACTGAGAGCTACTACATCTTCTGAGGAAGTGTTTAAATTGAGCATGCCGATGTCATATCTTGCTGCAGTAAAGCCACTTAGCAGTCTTTTTGATGCCTACTGCTGCTTATCTGTGTTTTCTGCAGATAACAATGTTGGTATTGTTGCACTAGAACCTCATGTTGCTTTGTGTAGTGTCTCAAATTTCCATGTCATTAAACTCGAGTATCTTTATTCAAAGCATAATGCCTCATCGCTGCAAGGAATCCCACCAGGAGCCTGATGTGCCAGTACCACTCACAGTTGCTTAAATATGAGTATCACAAGCAGCAATTGAGAATTGGACAGGAAGTAAACTTCTTAAAACACTTCACTGGCAATGTGTACTTAGGATTACTAGAGGAAAGGGTGGAGAAGTAAGAGCCTGTTCCAGATGGTTTGGCAAACTCGTGACCTAACACAGTGTAAAGAATACAAAACATCTTGGAATTGGAGGAGTGGAGCTCTTTAACTGTGGATGAATTTCCACTATGGGGAGAAATCTCTCCATTTCTTTTTCCACCTTGCTTCTTATCAAGAGGCAGAGCTGTTATGGTTAAGCAGATAAAACCATGATTCTTCGCAGCTGCATTACTTCAAAGCTAATGCATGACACTTTCAGGAAGAACCTTAAGCCTCAGCTTAACCAAAACTAGTCCAGTCTTAGAGCAAGCTAGAGATTGTTGTTTGTGAGGTAGCAGAAGTAACAGGGTGGAAATTCTTCCTCCAGTTTTATCAAATGTTAGCTTAAATTTGCTTTTAAACTCTTGTTTCTTCATGGTGTGCAATCTCATCGTTAGGTTTGAAGTGCACTCAGTTGCTCTCAATACTGTTTCTTACCTTTTTTTTCCCCTCAAATGTCTTTACAGGAGCAAAAGAGTGTTCTGAAATCTATGAGGCGTTTGAGAACATCTATCCCATTCTTAGAGGTTTCAAGAAAACATCTTAAAGCAGCCTGTAAAGTAGATAGAAATAACGTATGGGTTTGTATTGCTAAGCATGGAAGAGAAGCCAAGGCTATTCCTGGACCCAAATGTATAGATGTGGAGGATGAAAGTGATGTTATTGTGAATGCTATAAATGCTGATCCCTTCCTACAGTTTGTGAAATGCTTTTTGCTTGCAGATTTGCTGTCCACAATTCACTTTGGTTCTGACAACTTCTGTCAGGCAGAGAAACTTACCAAACCAATGTACCTTTAACAGCATGCATAATAAGGTTGCGTTTGGTTTGTAGTTGAAACCTTCTGCCTTTTCCCTGTTGAACAGGCAAATTGACACTACATTTCAAACCAACCGGCAACCCAGCTCCTGCAATGTTGTATTTTCATGCTGACTCATTCAAATTCAAAATACATTTGTTTTTTTTTTCTATACTACAGCTTACAAAATCCAGCACGACTTTATTTCAGTGTTTTGAAGGCAGTGACTGCAGAGGACACCGGACTCCCTCTGATCACACAGGTTGGATCAACTGTTGTGTAACAGTGCTGGTGTTCCCTTAGCAGAGAAGATATTGAAGGGCAGTGCTGGAACACATTCAGAAAGGGGGCTTGCTAAGCTAATTGATTAATTGGTCATGGCACGGGTTTTAACAAAATGCTACCTGTTTGTGTTACTGAAGCCTGATCAGATGATGACTGATCAGGAACAGCCTTTAAAGTGGACTTGAGGAAAACACAAAAAAAAGTCCTGGATGCTCAGGGCTTAATTATCTGAGTTATTTAACTAGATAACGGCAATGAAAGCATTTGGTGATTTTTGCAGCTGATGCTGTGGGGCTCTTCCACTTTCCTCAAGCCAAGGCCTTCTTTGCTAGAGGTGTCTCTCTCAGGTGAAACGAGTAGGAAGAGTGTAGAGATGATTCCTTTACTGTTCTGGTCTCTGCTACGATTCTCTAGAAGCGAGAGTGCTTTTTCTTGTCTCAGAACAGAATTTTGGTGCTGCTGGGCCTCATCTCCTCCCCTTGTTTCCTGCTGAAGATGGGACAGATCTGTCAGTAAGCCCCCAGAGCCGCTAGAGGTTGCTATTTCATGATTTAAGTGCAACCTAAAAGCTGCCTGTCCTCAGTAGAAGCATACAATGTTGGCAATGGTTTAATGCGGGACAGAGTACCTGTCATGTCTTGCTGCCACCAGCTTATTTCTGATTTGGAGAGGCAGTGACTTCAGTGTGTCTGCAGTCTCACTCAAGTACTTTTATAACTTTGCTCCTCCAGAACAAAAAGCTTGGAAAACTTCATGCACTTCCTTACGATAAACTGGTCTCAACTGCCTTATCAGCTTCTTTGTCACAAGCAAACTGTGGGTTTCCACACTCAGATCTATTCTAAACAGAGACTGACTTTTCTGTTTGTTTTCCAACACTGCAGACTTTCCACTGCTGTGGGCTGAACTTCTGTTTGCGCTGTGGCTGTTAAAGCTGATAAGCATGATTTAGCAGAGTCCTTGCAAGTGAAAAGCAACAACCTGCTCTTGTTGGTGTTTGGAGATGGCTTATCTGAGATGAGAAAGAAAACTGCTTTTTTCATCAAGAGCTGCATAATTTCACCAGTAAAACCAGTGCTCTTTTAAGAAGTGCGGAAAGAGCTTGGAGATAAGAAATGGGCTCTGTGTCTTCTCAGAGCTGCTGATAACCTCATGTTTGCTATGGTAACTCGTCTTAAAAACAAATATTGCTGTTCTTTTTCAGTTTGAGATGATTTCAGACTGAAAGAGGGGAGGTTTAGGCTGGGTATGAGGGGAAAGCTGTTAAGAACAAGGGCGGCGAAGCACAGGGTGCCGGTGATGTCCTGCACACACCGGGGTTCGGGCTCCGAGCGCTGACGGAGCTGTGGGTGTCCTGGCGCTGCGGGGAGCCGGGATCGAAGGTCCCTTCTACCTCCAACTCCGTGATTTTATGATCCTGTTGTTCGTTTCACCGTGCCGTCGGCTTGCGGAGCGACAGCGCTAAGCTCTCAAGCGCCAACCCCCTCTCCCCGTGAGGAGCGCGGCTCAGCCCGCCCCGCCGCCTCAGCGCCGCTCCCCACAATGCCCCGGGCCGACAACAAAGTCCCACGTGACCGGCGGCGCGCCGAGCCCATCATGGCGTCTCCCAGCGGCTGCCGGCCGCAGCCTGGCGGGCAGGGCGGCGGCGGCGGCATCGGGACCGGACCGGGGGTTCTGCGAGGCGCCGAAGAAGACGCCGAGGGGCTGTATGTGGCGGTGGAGCGCTGCCCGCTTTGCAACACCACCCGGCGCCGCCTCACCTGCGCCAAGTGCGTGCAGGGCGGGGACTTCGTCTTCTTCGACGGCCGTGACTCCGAGAGGTAGGGGGGTGGGGGGCGGGAGGTGGCGTTCTGCGCTGTGAGGGCGGGGCGGCCCTGATGTGCCCCGGCCCTGGAGGTGCCCGGTGGATGGGGCCCTGTTTACCAGCGGTGGTTTGTATGGTTAGTGGCTGCTACGAGTGATTCCTTGTGCTATTTCGGGAAGGGTGGTAAGCGGGGCGTTGTGTGGAAGGTCCTCACGCCCGACGCCCTTCACATCTGTCTGCCAAATGTCAGAACGGCGGTGCCTTGCTGCTTCCCTCGGCTCTGCAGCTGCCCCAAGCAGCTCTTTATGCCAGCAGGCGTTTAATGCCGTAAACTTTTTCTATAGCTGTTTGCTGGTAGTCTGTACGATTGGACGATTATGTGCCAGTCTCACATTTAAACAAACATGAGAGTCTGAAGCGAAACCCAAATACCAAAAATCGACTCATGCCTCCATCTGTATCCACACGAGCAGACCCTTAATCCTGGCTAGGTTGCATTACAGCCAATGGGAGTGGGCATAAAGGTGTCTGGTCTGGTACTAAATGGGAGGTCAGTGGCCCTGCATGTGGCAGGGGGTTGGAAATTCGTGATCCTTGAGGTCCCTTCCAACCCTGGCCATTCTGTGATTCTGTGTCAGCCTGCAATGTTTCAACTGTGGGCTGCAACTTGTTGGGGTTTCTTTGTTTTTGTGTGACCTGGAACCACAAACTGCTCTCTCTGAAGTTGATGGAAAACTGTGTGTCTGTGTGAGGCTGCCCACGGTTACCTGCAGTTTCCACAGAAATCTTGTTTTGGGCATTTGGAATATAAAGCAAGTACTTTGTGTTGCCGTTGTGCTGACTAAAGATTTTGGCTAACCTTCAGGCTTCACTGAAGTAGCAAAGCCTCAATCATCCTGCATTAACCGAGGCACAAGGAGTTCCTTAACCCACTGGAAAAACAAAGCTGTATAGGTGTAGTCCTGGCCAAGGTACCAGAGGCAACAACAGCTTGTCTTCAAAACAAAACAAAAAACAACTCTCATCTTCCTCCTATTTCTCACATGGGGCAGGGTCAGCTCTTCTACCTGACTGCTCTCACTGCATCTTTCTAAGGTGCTTTAACCATCCTGTTTAGCTTTGTATGTTTAAGCTGCTTTGCTTATTTGCAAGAATAATTTCCTGTGGGTTTTTTCCCCATTTTTTTTTTCTTTCCCCTTGGTCTGAGTGCAGTCTTCTGTCCTGTACCCCCTGGATTTGGTGTCTTGCTGCTCAGAGCTTTTCTAACAGAAACACAGCCGTGCATAGCAGCTTTGCATTCACAAATAAGGGAATAACATCACATGAATAGCATAAGCCCAGTTGATTGCAGTAGGAAAGTTTGCTTTGGGGACAGTGCTTCCTAAAGCTTGGATTTCTTGTTCTTTCAAAGCTTTAGAATTGCTGATGGTTTAAAACCGTGCTTGAAATGTGTTACCTGTGCCGGATAATTAATGTTTGAATGACTGATAGTGAAGTAAAGGAATCACAGCATGGCCTGGGTTACAAAGGAGCACAGTGCTCACCCAGCTCCAACCCCCTGCTGTGTGCAGGTCACCAACCAGCAGCCCAGGCTGCCCAGAGCCACATCCAGCCTGGCCTTGAATGCCTGCAGGGATGGGGCATCCACAGCCTCCTTGGGCAACCTGTGCCAGTGCCTCACCACCCTCTGGGGGAAAAACTTCCTCCTGAAGTGGGAGGAGAGAGGGAGAACCAGCCCTCATCTCAGCAGTCAGCTGCATTGCAGTGAGGGGTTTCCATGCATTCCTTGGGCAGTGAGCACAGGCAGCAGCGACCTTTGCAGCCCGGCAGGGACAGCTGCAGGCACGGGCTGAGCACAGGCTGTGTTTGCTGGCAGCGTTCTGTGTTTGGTCACTTGATGCCTTCGAGTGGGACGTGGGTTAATTTTAGCTGGGAGTTATGACCTGGATGGGGTCGCAAGAAGGGTTGCTCTGGGGAAGCTGCTGGGAGTGCTGTCAGAAACTGCTTTGGGATGCACAGGGACACCCATGCCTCCCACACTGGAGTCCTCCAGGCCGGAGGGAAGTGTTGTTGCCTCTCTCTTCTTAAAGAGTATTCTGTAGTATCCAGTGATGTGGCACTTTGGATTTTCTTGTGTATTTTTTCCCTGGTGAAGGTAAGTATTTTAATATTCTAACAGCAAGGATCTGCTTTTCATTAGATGATTCTGTGTGCTAAAAGCTGCAGTAAGGTTGAAAATCGCACCCTGTGTCTGTGAGGAGAAGTGATGGAGGAGCTGTTAAGATTAATTATTGAAATAGGACTATAATTAAGGATGAGCAGTCCGGAAGTCCTGCATTAAATAATCGCTGACATTCTTCCTTTCATTAGCAACGTGCTGTACGTTACACCAGCATCTCAGTGCTAATTTCAGCCTGGAGACTTTCCTCACAGGAGCTTTTTCCCTCTGCCATAGGCAGAAGTCCTCAGAGTATGTATTCCAAGCATGTGGACTTGCTTTGCTTTGTATTTCTGCAGGTAACAAAAAACAAAGACAACACAGTTGTGGTGTCTGAGGCTGCCTGCCTGATTTCTCCAGGCAAAAATTGGTGGCTTTTTGCAACAAAAGGGTTTTGTTGGAGAGAATTGGTACAGCACTGCTACAGCTGCCCTGGGGATGGTGGGGTCACCCTGCATGGAGGTGTTCCAGAGCTTTGGAGATGTGGCACTTAGGGATGTGGGCATGGTGGGGTGGGCTGGGGTTGGGCTGGAGATACACCATGCAACACAATTAAAAATAGGGCAATATAAAGACATTGAAATATTTGCTTTAGGAGGAAGTTTTTCAGCCAGAGGGTGGTGAGGCACTGGCACAGGTTGCCCAAGGAGGCTGTGGATGCCCCATCCCTGCAGGCATTCAAGGCCAGGCTGGATGTGGCTCTGGGCAGCCTGGGCTGCTGGTTGGTGACCTGCACACAGCAGGGGTTGGAGCTGGGTGAGCACTGTGCTCCTGTGCAACCCAGGCCATTCTAGGATTCTATGAGAAACCTGCTGAAGGAGTTTGCAGGAGCTGCTTGACGCAGCTGCTAAAGTGCATGGTGAGCTGGAATCTTTGCAGCCCCCCACAAATATTGCCACCTTTCCTCCTTACAAAGAACTTCCTTTAGTCCCAAATTCTTGACAGATCGCTCACCTTTTAGCTGACGTGATGGACGTGATTCAGGTAATGGCATTGAGTCAGACTCTGTGCCCATAGGAAAACAAGCACTGCCAAATTTCCTCAGCTCTCGCGGTGCTGAGTGCTGTGTTTGTGGGCTGAGCTATTTCTGCCTTTAGCTCAAGGTTGGAGGTGCTGGTTGTGTGTGTGCTGCTGTGTGTGAACACGCACTGGTGCAGCTTACATGGTGAGAATACATAGAAGGAGACAGGGAAAGATGGATTGATGGATGCTGAGCCACCAGGCTCTGGTTGCACTGCATTCCTTGGGTGCACACGTGGCCTCGGGCCCCCGTTCCAGCACCTGCCATTGGGTTGGTGCTGGTTTGGAAGGAGAAGGGATACTTCTGGCCTGCAGACTCTGAGGGCAGCAGACAGAATTTCTGTTGTTTTAATGTTTTTAATATGATTGCATACATCGTAAAGCCATGGTTGGGGTCCACACTTTCAGGTTTGGGCACTTTGAGAAGAGGAATGAAGCATTTTGAGGTTTAATGTGAAATCCAATCCCCGGGAGGGAGGGAGAGATCCCAGACGCCACCCAGCCAAGCTCACTCACTGTGTAATTCCTTCTAAATAAAGCTGAGATGTCCCTGAAATAGAGGGCTGGGTGGGGATGTGTGTGAACCATTTAACTTTTTATGAGGGTGCTCAAGAAGTGCAGAGATGTGGATCTGAGGGATGTGGGGGTGGGCTGGGGGGGGGATCTTGGAGGTTTTTTTCCAACCGTGATGGTTGGAACCTATGGAGGCAAGCAGAACACAGCTGTTGCATATCCAGGGGAAGCAAATGCAGGAACCCTGAAAGAATACTTGCTCCTGAGTGGTTATTGTCAGCTCCCATGGCTCAGACCTACACCTCAAGCAGGCACTTGGGTCATGGGCTTGTGATGCCTACAAGTGCTTGGTAGGAATAAGTAGGAATCAGTGCACCTTATTGCTGCTGCTGGTACAAGGAGTTGGATGTCATTTAGAAGCCTTAAATGAGAATTCTCCTATGGGGCACCCTTGCTGAGTATAGTAAGAGGTTCTGTTGCTATCCCTGGGAGATGGATGCTATACAGTTCTGCAGGAGTTCCATACATTTTGCTATTTACTTCCAAGGGTTGAGAGAAAATTCGGGTTTAGAGACACCTGCAAGCTTCAGGCTTTTTACTGTTTCAGGTAACTTACAATGCCAAAAACTGTGCAAAAACTGGAATAAAAGCATTTAATCTCTTCCAGGTTTTCAGACAAGAAAGAAAGGCTGATGCATCTGAAGACCAAACAGAGAGAATTCCAAAAACAGTAAGTTGTAGTCATTAAGTGAAAGCAAATTCCTTTAGAAGATCTCTCTGATGCACTGCTGCTGGAGACAGATGTAGTCCAGGTAGTCAAATAACTTTCATTCATGTTTTTCCCCCCAGTGTTTTGAAGGCCATGGAAGGCAAAGAGATAACTGATCAGCTGGTGAGTTATTCAAAGCTTCCCGTAGTTTCTGAGCTCTCTGAATTGCTGGATCACGTTCTTTAAAGTTATATTTTACCTCGAGGGTGTTGCCTTGCTTTCCTAAAAAGCCTGTTGTAAGCAAAAGCAAAATCAGCTCTGCAGAGTGCCAATACGCTTCATTTTTTACTAGGTATTATTCCTTCAGTAACTTATTATGCTGATTGACTTTAAGCTAAGCTTTCTACTTGTTCGTGGCTTTCCTCTGTGCCGAAAACAGTACGTGAAATGTTTGTGTGTTGGTCTGAGCCAATGCAGAACGTCCTGCTCCTTTTGCACCAAAGCTGCTGGCTTCGTTGTTAATCATTAGTCAGTGCATTCGAAACGGTTTGTGCCCTATTGCTGCTGAACCTTCTTTTTTCAGAGATGGAAAATAATGTCGTGCAAGATGAGGATTGAGCAGCTGAAGCAGACCATATGCAAAGAGAACGATGAAATGGCCAGGCGTGAGTAGTGCCCTGCTTCCCTAACGTGTGTAACTGCATCTCAGGGAGCAAAAATTCAATTGGTTTGGATTTGAGGGCCAGCTCTTAAAAATAGCGGATTTCCAAGGCAAATCAGCGAGTGGATTTCAGCCTTTTTATGCTTGGATGTTAATTAGCAAGCAGTAGGCATTATGCAGCTGGATGGAGATCATTTTGCAACGGCTTAAAAAGTAAATGCTTAGCAGCCTATGAATTTCTCCCTGGAGATGGTTTTATTCAGTGCAGCGTTCCTGATCGCTTCCTCTTGATAAAGAGCAGCAAACAGCTCTGCAGCTGTTATGGATTTCACGTAGCCGGTGAATTTTAACCCACACCTGTCTAGAAATCCCAAATTCCTGCTTGAGTAATACTGTCATTGAAGGATGGCACGAGCTGCAGAGTTGCTGACATTCAGCAGCTTCAGTCGTGAAACTCGTTAAGCATTTTACACAGGAGAGATTTGTAGTGTCATTTTTCAGGAGATGAACGTGCAGCTCCTCAGTCTGCTCCTTACAACCTCCATGCAAAGGTGAGATGGGAAGCAGATGCCAAAACACACTGACTGAATCAGGGGTGCTGTGATGACTTCAGATTCAAGAGGAGCCATGTGAGAAGTGGTAGCAAGGTCATGTAACTGAGAATAGTTACAAAAGAATGGCACAGGCTGGCATTAATAGCATCCAAACCAGTGAGGTGCAGGATGGTTATGTAGTAGGGAGGATGGATAGTCACCGTAAGAAACATAATAAGAAAAAGATGAAGGACAGGTGAGTCTGTTAGTTAAGAGGAAAGTGAATTCAGCACCTTCTTGCTTCTTCTAACAAGGAAAACGTGATCAGGTGTTGAACCAGATTAAATTTTACATCGTGAGAGGACTGTAGGGCAAGGAAAGGAATCAGGCAGTTAAAGGTTGTTTTGGTTGTGTTGGTGCAGCCTTATCAGATTCACTGTAGGGAACTTGAGGAACGGGCAGTGGAGCACTTGAGAACACTTGAGGTGGAAAGGATGTCTGAAGGAATAGAGTGCAAACAGCATCTGTTGTCAGAGGATGGATGGAGGGGGAGCCTTAAACTGATGACACAGTCACCCTCTTGTAATCTTACTGCATTGTAGGGACACAGAAAATAGCAAAAAGTGATGCCTGCTTTTAATTAAGAATAGGTCAGGCTGAATTGACCCCTTCTCTGGGGTCAGGTGCTGCAGTGGAGGAACCAAAAGATGCAAACATGCCTTGTCTTTGGGCTCTGCCCCAGGCTACCTCACAAGCAAGCAAATAAATACAGACTGGATGTAATCACAGAAAGACTGCATTCAGAGAGAGGTGATACTTGTCAAACCAAGGAGGTGAGACGGGCAGGGCTCCACAGGGAACAGTTCCTGGCCCTGTTGTCTTCACTGTTTTCCATAATAGCTTTCTCAGTAGCACAGAAAGTGGAATGGAGGAAGCCAAGGGGGATGACAGCATGAACTCTGTGCAGAATGGGATCAGATTCAAAATCGTGCAGATAAGTTGATCGAATCATCTGAAATGAAGGAAGTTAAGACCATGTTGTTTAAGAAAGAGAAACTATAACCTCATAGCAGGGAAAGGTGGTAGAGTTTGACAGGACAGAATGTGAGGAATTGCAAATTAAATAAAAAATACCAATGAAGTGCTGTTCCAGAAAGGTTCGGACCTCATTCTGAGTTATACTAAGGTAGGCTTTGTATTTAAGAAGGAAGCAATTATCCTTCTGTTCTCTGCATCAGTGCTGCCTCAGTGGGAGCCTGGAGCCCAATTTGAGCAATTGAAGAAAGATAGGAATCAACTGGAGAAAGTCCAGGAGGAAACATCAGGAATAAAACACAGAGTGGCTACAAAAAAATGGTGTTTAGTTTGCTTTGCTTTGCTTCTTTAAAAAAAAAAAATAATAATAATAATAAAAAAATGAAGAAGAGCAGTTTCCAGGGACCAGTTAGGGAGTGAAGCTCCTCCACCTTTCTGTTATTCTCAGAAATAAATGCTTACATGTTCTTAGTGTGCAGCTTTTACTGCTTACCTGATGAATCCATGAACTGACTCTTACCCAGCCAGCCTGCTGTTGGCTCAGTAGACCCAAAAGGAACTCTTGCAGTGAGCAGCCAACAATTCCTTCAATTGCTGTGCTCCCCTGTCTGGGAAAGGTAGCAGCCTGTGTGCGTTGAGGCAGAGAGAACTGCTTGGATGTTTTCTTGATTGTCTTTTCAATGGTATATAATGTAGTTCTATATAATGTAGTTCCTTCTTGGAGCAGCAGAAGCCACAAAACATTCTTACTGTACCTCTGGTCTCCTCTGTGCCTTGCAATCAAAATATATCAGAGGAGCAATGTCAGGGCTTACTGCCTGCCTTCTGTGCGAGGGGCAGTTATCCCATTTCTTGATGACAGGGAAGTGAGCTCTGCTGTGTGCAGGGCATGACTAATGCTGCTTCCTTTCAGCCATAAAAACTGGCACTGAGCACTAGAAGGGGGCTCTTATTCAAACTAGGGTACATTAACATTTCTCCATACGTATTTGGAGACATTTTCCTCTGCTTTTGAACGACGGAGGCGGTGAAGTCACCCTCTGCAGCACCATATGTTTGTGGAAGCGTTGCTGCAGTGAATTATTTTATAGAAGAATCAGCAGATGCTCTTGCAGGGATTTTTTTCCAGCTCTTTGTGTGCCTGCTGCACGGAGTGTATTTGGGCAGTCGCAGCATTTCATAAGCATAAGCACATTTGCCATTTTGTGCTAAGGAGAGGATTGTGCCACTGGGATCCAGGAGCTTTACGAGGCCATACGTGAGCACAAAGCCCAAATAATGTATGTTAATAGGAGCAGTGGTGCCAGAAATTGTGAGTGGAGATGCTATCTGCTCTTGATTTTGGCTGCAAGCAGCTCATGCCTGTTTGGCCAACACCATGCAAGCATGTAGAGTCAAGCAATTTCTGTCATGATGATTAGCGTAGAAGCTTAATTAAGCTGTGAAATCTTGGCTTTTCTGTTCCAAATCCAAAAATAGCTGGGTAAAAGATAGGGAGAGATTAATCCCAATGTCAGTCTCTTTGGAGCTCTTTAGAAAAGATTAGAAAGTTGTACCACTTAGCAGCTGGAGAGCGTTAATAGCGAGGCAGAGTTTTCTGTTCTAAGCCGCTGTAGATCTCATTTGCTATAAATATTAATAAAGCTTTTCTCAGGCTTACTGCAAGTACCTCGCAGCTCCTTTTCCTAGCTAACATCTGCTGCTGCCTTCACAGATGCAGAGGGGCTTCTGAGAATTAAAGAGGAGAACCAGAAGCATTATCGCAGGGCTCAGCGGCATCAGGAGAAGAAGGAGAAGATCCAGAGGCACAACCGCAAACTGGGGGACTTGGTCGAGAAAAAAACCTACGACTTGAAAACCCAGCACGAACACCTGGCAAAGCTGCGCAGGACGCACATCCTGGAGCTAACGTCAGTCATATTTCCCATTGAGGAAGTAAAGACAAGCATGAGGTACGCAAGGCTCGTCCTTTCGGCCTTGTTTTTCCTAGCTTTGGACAGCCAGGTGTGAGCTGTGTGAGTCTGAGCTCAACGCCGCGGCTCCCTGAGCATCTGTGGGGAGGGAGGAGGTGTTTCCCAAAGGCGTAAGAATCTGAGAGCCTCTGAGAGGTCTGAGCTGCGTGTCCACTCTTGAAATAGATGATAAAAAAAGGCAGAAGGGAGTAGTGTGGCGATGGAGGAGCATAGCAGGGCTGTTTCTGCAGGTGTTCTGCTCTCTGAAGTCTGGCTGCGTGCCTGCCAAGCACACTGCTGACTGTGTTTTTTTGAACTAACTTAAAAATGCTCTGTTCTTCCTTGGGTGCTGCAGGGATCCTGCAGATGTGTCTTCTGAGAGCGACAATGCTATGACCTCCAGCACTGTGAGCAAGCTTGCAGAAGCCAGGAGAACCACGTATCTCTCTGGGAGATGGGTGTGTGATGACCACAATGGGGACACCAGCATCAGCATCACGGGGCCTTGGATAACCCTTCCTAATAACGGAGACTACTCAGCATATTACAACTGGGTTGAGGAGAAGAAGACTACACAAGGACCAGGTAAGGAGAGAGGTCTGGTGAGGCGTCTGGGATGCTCCAGAAGCCATAGAAGTTGCAGCTTTGAATGCCAGCAGAAAGCACTGGGGAACAGTAGCCCGGCCCTTTGGTTCTTTCCTGGGCAAACCTGAGTCACAAGTAAAGAAACACCAGTATAGGGAGTAGTCCACTGCCAGCCTCTTTTGCAGGAAATGCTCATTGGGACACAGTGCAAAGTAATAGAGAGATAAAGTTAATTATTCACAGTTTTGACGTGGTTTGCATGCTTATCGATTTAACAGGAATTCCAAGGATTACTGTTTTGTACCAATTTCTGGCAGATCTCACTGTAAATGATTGCTGGATTCAGGCAGCTCTCAGTACTGACAAATGACATTTCCAGAGGAGACTTCAGAAATGCATTAACACACCCACTGAGGCTTCATTTAAAATGAGACTTTCATGCTGTTTTTATTCCTTTTAGATATGGAGCACAATAACCCTGCTCATACCATCAGTGCTGCACTGTGCTATGCAACCCAGCTCGTTAACACTTTGTCTCTCATACTTGATGTAAATCTTCCCAAGAAGCTCTGCAACAGGCAAGTAAATGCAAGCCTCTGAGAAGATGAATCAGTTACCAGTGCTGAATAACCTTAATTCAGTTTGGTTTTGTGAATGAAGTCATTGCTTGGAACAGCCTTTATGGTAATGGCTGATGGCTCACAGATTTTTTTGTGCCATTTAATTTCATGGGGAGCTCCAGTAGGAATTTAGACTGCAGTTAATCCTCCCTCCCTCCTTTTCTACCTTCTGAGAGCACAGACCAGCCATTCAGAAGGACAACCTTCTAACTGCCTTAGTCAGCACCCTCATATTGGAGTGAAATACGACAGTGTGTGAATAGCACTTTTCATTTGATCAGACCCCACTGTGCTTTACAAAATACCAGCTCAATTCAGCAGCTCTTAGTCATCCTGAACAGCTCCACTGCAGTAAGAGATGTAAAATGGGACCTTATGATATGGTATGACAGCAATGTAATTCTCTCTGGGTTAAAACACTGGTGGGGAACGTAGCTGGCTGCCAGGTATCTGGGAGTGTGTAAGCCCAGCAGTGATGAAAGGCACCGTTGGGTTTTTAGTGCCTACACAGAGCAGATGGGACCTGTACAAAAGTAATTCAAGTACAAAAGTTTCAACTGTACTGCTGAGATTCTCTAGTGTTTAAAAAACCACAGAATTAGAATCATAGAATCATTAAGTTTGGAAAAATACCACTAAGATCATCTGGTCCAACTGTCAGCCCATCACCACCGTGCCCAGTGGAGCAGTGATTGCCAAAGTGAGGACACAGTGGTTGGGTAGAATCCCTGCAGGTTTTCTTGTGCTATTATTTGGTTGTTCAGTCTTCACAGGACAAAAAGGTTGGGAGCAGGGAAATGAGGCAAGATTTAAAAGGAGAACCAAAACAATTTGGCTGTGTTGAAACCTTGAGTTTGCATATGGTTCACATCAGCTGTCCTGGTGAAACCACTGAGGCTCGGGCAAGCCTTGTTTGCTGATAAAATGCTAACAGAGAGAATGCTGATGTCTGCAGTAGGTGTCACAGCACTTTTTGTGTGCATGTATGTGTATGTGGTCCTTCAACAGCGAGTTCTGCGGGGAGAATCTCAGCAGGCACAGGTTCACGCGAGCAGTGAAGAAGCTGAATGCTAATATCCTTCACCTCTGCTTCTCTCAGGTAGGGGCAATGCACATATGGATCCTTTGAATAGCTTTTAACTTACCAGCTGCAGGTTTCCTCCAATAACTGGTTGTCTTTTTCTCACCTTCTCCGTGGCAGCATGTCAATTTAGATCTGCTGCACCCACTGCACACGCTCAGGAACCTCATGTACCTGGTCAGCCCAGACACTGAGAACTTGGGCAGGTAAGAAAAGCAGCGCGTCAACACACCCGTGCCTGAATCCCCTTGGGAGTTATTATGCATTTGCACTGTGGCTCATGAGGGAAGATCTTCTTCTTTTCTGCTGCACCTTTGCATAAATCCTCAGCACATCAGAAGTTAGGGTGGCTACGTGGGGAGGACAGAGGGAGGGGATTCTGAGCAGGGCATTGCATTTCAGACACATCTGTGTGTGTGGCAGGGCTCAGCTGGGGGCTTTATGACTGACTGTATGGACTGGTTTCTCTTGTGCCCCAAAGCAGGAACTGCTTCCCCCCAGAGCACAGCAGCACACATCCCATCAATCTCACTGTGCTCTGAGCATGACCCTGCCCACATCCTGCAAACGTGTATAAGAGCAGCCAGCAGTATCAGCCTTAAATAAATACCAAGTAAAGCTTTCCCAAAATAATTCCAGTCAATGAGCACCCTAGACCAAAGTCCACACTCAAATAATATTCATTTATGTGTACATTAACAATTTTTCTGTTAACTTAGTATGTGATTAGAAGAACATAAGTTCCTATAGACTGCATACAGCAGTTTTATTATTATTAGTTATTTATTTTCTTCAGTTTAAGAAAGTTAATACTCATTTCCTCTTGGGATAATCCAGTCACTTGAGGCTGAGGCAGTCTGCAAATGTTTGTGAATTCCACTCTTTTATTCACTCTCAAATGCACCAATGCTTTGACATCCACTTTTCCACTCTGTTCTGGTGTACAGCTCTAGTCTGACTTTAGAGCCTGCAGTGTCACTGTGTCTTCAGATTGATGTTCTTTGGGTATACCCCTACTTAGTCAGCCCAAACATACAGGGAGCCAACTTAGCTCACTGTGGAAAAACTGATGTGCTTGTCTGCAAACAGGCAGGGCAAGAAACACCCAGAAAGTGAAGAGCTGTGTCCTGGGAAGGATGCTGAAAGGGATGTGAGAGCCACAGTGGGCAGAGAGCTAAACCAGATGGGTGCCCGTGGTGGGAAATAGAAAGGCAGAGCAGAGAGATGGATCTCATTTCTCTGTGCAACTCACAGGAAATAGAGGCTATGCATGGCTTTGTGGTCCTGCAGAGACCACAAGCACCACTGAAAGCAAAGAGTCGGGGCTGGGTTGAAATGAGGTGCATGCTTTTAACACAGAGATTTAACTTCCAGCAAGAACGGAGTGGAGAAGTTCTTTATTTCCTTGTGTCTTCTTGCCAAGGCGGGATGAGTTTCTGGAATGGATGTGTTCATCAGGCAGGATTCAATGGGGGATATGGAATGCAGTGGCCTTTGTTAGAGAGGAGGTCACAGCAGATGATCTCATGGTCCCTCCTGGCCTTAAACCCGATGACTCCCTTCTTGTGTTGCCTTGTTAAGCAAAATGCTGTGCCAGAGGGCAGTGCTCCCATTCCTTTCTGTATGATGAAAGAGTTTACCTCCAGTTTCTTGGCTGTCTGCAAGGTCTGCAGCAACTAGCTGTCGTCGTTTTCCTTCAGACTTCTAGGCCTCTAGTTGCCTGATGGCCTCCTTTATAAGCTAATATTTTCACATATGTATAATTTTACCAAGCTTTAATTGTTCAGGTTAACATTTCCTGTGCTAAACGGCTGCTTCAGGCTGCTTCTCCATGTAAGGTTGGAGAACCACCATTAACTGTGCTAAATTCTTGCTCCTGTCTCACTGAGAACCTGAAAGACCTTTGTGCTTTGGAATTAGATTTGTTTAACAGAGACTCTGCTTGTGGGGAACCAGCTTTCTCCTGCCTTTGTGAGCACCTCGCTTCGTCTGACGGTGTCTCAAAGGCCTCTGAAACTCTGCAGGTGCTCTGGATTATCATAGAAATCCTTTGAGTTGCAAGGGACCCTTCAAGGCCATCTGGTCCAACCCCCTGCAATGCACAGGGACACCCACAGCTCCATCAGGTGCTCAGAGCCCATCCAGCCTGACTTTGGGTGCCTGCAGGGATGGGGCACCAGCACCTCTCTGGGCAACCTGTGCCAGTGCCTCACTACCTTAATCGTAAAAACGTTTTTCCTTATATCTCATCTAAATCTCCCTTTAGTTTGAAACCGTTTTCCCTCTTCCTATCACAATAGACTCTGCTAGAGAGTCTGTGCTCTTCTTTCTTATAGCCTCCCTTTAGATTTTGACTCGCCACACTCTGGTGCAAGGCTGTGGGACTGGGCAGAGTGCAGTTGCTTCTATTACCAGGCAGTGGCAGCAGGGAACTCAGAGTCGCTCCCAGCAGAGCTGGGTTTGGCCGGGACATCAGGAGATCTTATCCGAAGCCCCACTCAGAGCAGAATGAACTACAACCAGTTACTGAGGACCAGCTTTGAGTACACTGAGGAGGGCTTTGAGTATCTCCAGTGATGGAGACTCCACAACCTGTCTGGGTGAACAGTTTTACCACTCTCACGTGAAAAAGAACTGCAGCTCTTGCTTGAGGTGAAGTGCTGCTATGGACAGTCTCTGTTAGGGAGTTGTGCCAACCATCTCCACAAGCTGTAAAGCACACCCTTCCCCTTGCTGACCTGCAGCTTTCCCTGCAGCATTCTTGGCCCGGTCAAAGCTAGCGTTAAAAATCAAAGCTGTTCCACATCAAGCTGAGATTTCCACCAGTGGAGCTGTGAGTTACTATCAGTAGCTGTGTGTGTGTTTCACTGTGCACTGCTGAAGCCAAACAGCTCCTCTGCTGTTCCTGCTCATCGCTTCCTTGGCCAACTGTTTTACCGTTGTCACAATGCGGTTGTAGCCAGGGAGCCTCTCTGTGCCAGCTGATAAAGGCAGAGGTTTTCTAATGTCTGTTCCATGTGCACATGACAGAGCAGGCTGCTTAGGCACCCCTAGGACAGCCCCTCTTCTGCGCTGTACTGGAAGCACTGACAGCACTGTGTCCGTGTCCACAGGTCTGGCCCTTTTGAAATCAGTGCTGACCTGGAAGACTCCATGGAGTTTGTGGATCCCAGTGCCACCGGTGAGACAGATGAGAGCGGAGATGAGCACGTCAGCGACGAAGAGACGGATCTGGGGACAGACTGGGAGAATCTGCCGAGCCCCAGGTTCTGTGATATCCCTTCCCAGCAGGTGGAGATGCTGCAGAGCCAGAGCACGCAGGTGTCACAGCCCATCGCCAGCAGCAGTGCTGGCGGGATGATCTCCTCTGCTGCTGCCTCAGTGACCTCGTGGTTTAAGGCGTACACCGGGCATCGCTAACGAGCACGGGAAAAGGATCGCAGGATTTTGGAAGGAATCCCTCCCCAGCAATGCTGTAGTAAACCTTACATATTCAGTTAAGTAGTGCCTGGAACAAAGAAAAGGTCCGACTTTGATTTTGTAAACCAGAAGAACCTTTTTATTGACCCAAGATGACTGTGATGGTACCGTTTTGTACATTAGCTAGCTACGTAATTCTGACAGATTCTGTGCTGGCACTTTGTGTCTTGGTTCTGTCTGCATTGTTGGATATCAAAGGAGGACCCAGCGGCCTCCAGCTCTGTCTCCTAAAGAAGAAACAGATTCTGTAGTGTTTGGATCCAAACGAGTACAGAGGGAAGGCTGCTCAGTATTCAGTCTGGACGGTGGTGCGAATGCAATTCACGCGTTCTTCACTCCTCGCAGGGTTTATGTTTGTGTTTTAAATCTATCTTGCATAATGCAAAAATGCACATTTCTAAATTTTCTTTTCTCATTCAGGACATGACAATGATGCATTTTTAACATGTTTTCTAATCTCTGTTGCCATATTTTTTTAATGTGGAGAATCAGCATGGACAAGAATCCACACAGCAGGTTGCTCTTATTTCAGGTTTTGGTGTGGATCTTGACCCAGTTTTGCTGTAGGAAATTGGCTTGCTCCACCAGTAGGCAATCTCCACGTTCATGTTGTGCTCTCCAGGCACGATGCTCTTTACTCGTGATACCACACACCAAAGAAACACTGGATGTTCTCTTAGCTAGACCCACATCTGACACTGTTGCTGCAATAAGACTCATGGGTTACACCGTGTTGCCATTTTTAATATTAGAGAAGCCTCATTTCAAGCTAGCTTCACGAAGTCCCATGTTCTACGTGCCACGTGCGCTTTAAACCCTGTTCCATTCTGTGTTGCTGGTGGGTTTTTCTTTCTGTTCTTTTTTGCTGATTGCCAAGGAGCTGATTTCATCTTGCTGCAGCGCTGCTCCCAGGGCAGCTGGCGTGCTCACAGAACCGCGGGAGCTGCGATGCTGACAGGGGGTTGCTAACAAGTGCTCCTCCACTTCCTCTGCCTCGTGGGATGCATCGCTTAAGGATGGTTTTGCTCAGTGAGGCTTCCACTGTATGGTTTGCATTTCATGCAGCTGGGATGTTGTACATCTTCGTGGGCATTTGTGTGAAATCATCCTCCCATCCCTCTCAGATGGAAGATTGCAGTCTTCCCTGTTGAAGCAGCTGGGGATGCAAGTGAGGCACACAGAGGTGTAGCACAGAGAGGCAGCATCCTTGTGCACAGCAGCAAAGCAGCACCAGCCCTGCTGAGCTCTGCGCCCAGTAGTACAGCCCAGCTCTGTCCTGCACAGCAGCTCCTGGTCTTTGGGATGGGAATCTATTTGGGGTTTCTTTGGACCGAAGACCCTTAACTCTGCACTAACAGTACGCTGTTCTGTGAAGACACCCTTGGTCCTAAACCCAAGTTAGGTTCATTCTGGGCAGTTAAGTTAAACAAACAGCACAGACCCCCTTGACAACTGCAGTCTTGGCCCAACCGACTGCTTTCCCCTTAGATGCTGTTGGTGTCTGAGCAGCCAGCACCCAGCAATGCCCTATGCTGGCTTTTAGCATCACACAGCCCATCTTGCTTCCCTATATACATATTTTACTACACCTTTCAATCACTCTCATTGCTGCCTTTGCATTACTTAGAGCCCTAATGGCCAGGCCACGGTTCTGTTTGGATGCTGCCATTTATGGATTCTGAGGGGGGTGAAAAGCCACCACCACAACACCTTCTGAAGCCATATCCCCATTTTGACCATGGTGTTTTCCAAGTAATTTATTTCCCACCACATCATAGAGTGCACAGTGGCACTGTGAAGGCATGAATGCATGAATGCATCGAGACCGGTCCTTTCAAGGAACAATTGTGTAACAGGATAGAGTGTTGGTTTTAAGTGTTTTGCACACGTGTAGCTCAGGGAGAGTTACATGTGTCCTAACCTCCAGTGCAATCAGTGGGATTGGTTTTCCAGGTTGTTTGGGGGTGAGGGAAGGAAGCACTGTCTGCTCATTGGAGGTTGCTGTAGGCAGCCAGCTGAGTTTGCAGAACAGTTGGTGTGGGTTGAAGACAGCAGTTCTGGCTCAGGCTGATCCCTGCAGCTAGATTTGGCCATTGTGACTTCCCAATGAGATGGAACTAAATACAATTATTATTATTTTTCTTTTCTAAGTTTTATTGTATTATTGCAATAAATCTTTAACAGTAGTTTTTTTTTTAAGTGGTAGAATTGTCACTTCTTCGTGGTTTGAAATGCTCTGGGGGGGGTACATGACAATTTCCAGCCTTCAAAGCATCACAGGCACCAGCCCTGCTACAGTGCAATTGGGAAGCAGCAAAATATGCAGCAGCAAGGTAAAAGAAAGAATACTTTTGCTTCAAACAATGGCATCTCCATTGAGGCACACCCCTCTCTATGCAGGGGATTCAGCAGTTTACACGCAAGCTTGGAGCTTGTTATTTTTCTCCATCCCCCCCAGTGGCCTCAGTCACTGAAGGTGACCAGAATCTCACAGCTTGTTCTAAGCAAAATGACCTCACTGCTTCCTTATCTAGGTACAAAATATTTTCCTCAGCTGCTTCTATTTCAGCCCAGCAGTGACTTTCCTCACCACCGTCAGCACCACGCATTTATCTCCACTCTTCCAGAGTCCTGGGCAGGGGGCAGGAAAGCTCTTTCTTCTCCCTCTTCCTTAACTGAAATTAAGGTGTGGCCTTTGATCCCAACAGTTTTGGCATGATTTCAACCACAGGGCAGTCCTGCTCATCCCGGCCCTGCGCCCCATTATGAACCCAAGTCCCAGCCACCCAGGGGATGCCACTTCTCCTCCATCAGCTGCCCCTCCGTGCAGCTTTCTGCTCTCCTTGCTCCTGGCTGGCACTGCAGAGGGCAGAGCAGCACCCAGGTGTAGCTACAGCAGAAGAGCAGCAGCATCCCTTACAAAGCTGAGCGCAGGCTGCCAGGGCTCTGCATTTTCTTGCACAATAACACACCATAAATAGCAAACCAAAGCTCACTCCTGTCTGCAGAGCAGAACAGCCACTGCTGGGGGTTCTGCCCCACATTTCAGCCCCCCTGGGCACAGGGACAGAACTGCAGGAGATGAAAGCAAACGCTCCAAGAGACGCCATGAAGAGTCCAAGGAATCACCACCATTCAGTTGTGCTTCTGGCAGCCCTCAGAGCGCTGACACACAGCAGAAAGCAGCAGGCAGGGGCTGGAGCAGAGCTCTACCAGGAAGGGTTTTTGTTTCATAGGATTAGGCTGCAAGTCTGGGCTCCAGCACAACACCAAATGCTCACCTCCTGTTTCACAGCATTTTCACAAGACCAAGGCAGCTAAGGCAGATCTAGAATGCATGTTTTATTTAAGTAAAAAAAAAAAACAAAAAACCCAAAAAAAAAAACCAACCAGACAACATGGATAAGGTAGGCAAGAACTTCTTTTATATTCTGACTATACAATAATATTCCTCTTTTTTTTCCCTCCACTGCCACCACTACTGTCACGTTTCCGTTCTAGTCTAGTTTTAAGGTTGTCCAGTTAAGTTGTTTGAAGATTCTTTAACCAGGTTGGCCTTTACCTATTTAGAGTTTCTTCTCAGAAACATTCATATATTATACAGGATATACAGATTTTGAAACAAGACACTTAAAAACACACACACCTATAGCCGCAACACTATCATAGCTGCATTGTAGTGATTACGTTGTTCAGCCAGCTGTAGACTCTGTATGTACAATTAGTTTTTATAGTGTTATTTACATAGATGGACTAAAAGCTTTCTTTATTCTAAAAGGTAAAGGCTCTTGTGTTGAAGTATGTGCAGTTTCATAGCCCTGTGAAAAACACGACAATTATATACACTGTAAACAGCACAAGGCATGAGAATCTCCTCCTACCCCAAACCATCTCACAGGAAAGTGTATGTGCACTAATATTCCTCTTCTCCTTCGGCTCCCGCTCCTCTGGTCTTCTTATGGAGAGCACGGTTAAAGCTGTGGCAGGCAGGAACCCAATGATTGTCATGGAGACCCAACTTACAGCCCGGGATGCCCTTCTGGGACCTGTGACAGCACATCCAGTAGCCAGGCCCGTAGGGTAAAGCTTGGCAGTAAGGTTTGGGGTGCCAGCGGCACAGCGACACGTCCCCCTTCACGTACTTCTTCTTGCACTGCTTGCAGGGGTCTTCTCGGTAGCGGGGGTCGCGGACCCAACGTGAGTCTGCTGGCCTGATGTTGTAATACTCGATGATGAACTTGAAGTAGTAGCAAGTGCATTTTAGGGCCACCAGGCTCCTCGTGGGGAGCAAGCCGAAGATCTTCACTATGATGTGGTGAGGCAGGAAAGCCATATACTGCTGAGGTTCCAGAAGCTGCTGGATTTTAAACCTGGTCTCCAAAAAGTCATGCGAGACCTGCCGTTTCAAGCAGGAAGCATCGAGTACTTGCAAAGCACCTTCTGGAGGGGAAACAGAAAGGGCTGATGGCTCAGGAGAGACACTGGTCCCGACACACGATTTGTCAGATTCCACAGCCTCCTCATCCTCGTTCTGCACTCCTTCTCCTGGCTTCCCTTGGGTACATTCCTGCAGCGGCTGTGGTGCAGGAGTGGCATTCTGTTCAGCCTGGAGAAAAAACAACCTCCCTGGGAGGGGGTCCTCACTCAAACTGGAGGGAGGGAGCTTCTCTTTCCTATCACTCTTGGAGACTGCTATACTGATGCACAAGGGCTCCTTCCTAGCAGGATGCAAGCTCTGCTTTGAGAGGATCACAGCTTCTTTCGACGTACAATCAACACTCGTGCTCTTGCTCGGCAAGGAATCCGCCGGCACCCCAGCCACAGCCGGACACAGGGCTGGCAGAGCCCTGGGAGGCTCAACCCGCCTTTCAGCATCGCTCCTTCCAGCCGCAATGGCCAACACAGCGTGAGCAAGTCCCGAACCGGCGTTCCCCTCCAACCCAGGAGAGAACGGCTGCGGAGCAGAGGTGGCGCCATCCCACAGCCCAGCATCCCCACACCTCGCTCCGCAGCCAGCCCCCGCCGCCCCTGGCTCTTCACCCTCACTGCCTACAGAGGCCCTGCCAGGCTCAGCAGCGGGCTGCGTGCTGCTGGCCAGGAGCACCCGCCCCACGTTCCTGCGGAAGCTGTTGTTGCGCGACAGGCTGCCGCCGTCCCGCTCGCTCTGCCGCCGCAGGCACTCCGACTCCAGCTTGGCCACCATGTCCAGGACGCGCACCGGCTCGCTCTGCTGCTGCTCGCTGCTGCCACAGCTTCCCCTCTCATGTACCTCGCACGGCCCGGCGGCGGAGAAAGGCTCAGAGCTGGGAAGAGCACCTTTAGATGGAGCGCTCAGCCTCGCCGTGGAGGCGGACGTGCAAGTTTTAGCACAGTCTACCAGTAAAGCACTTGCTCGCTGCTCCAGAAACGCAACCATCTCTATCACGGAGAGGGACCTGCCCGGGAACACCCCCTCACCACTGTCATTCACACAATGTACTGAGCAGTGCTCGATGCCGCACGCAAAAGGCTCTGGCTGGGAGCACCTGGCGTTCGCCTCTCTCATCCTTTCCAACTGGAGCTTGGCTTTTTTCAGATCTACCATTTTTTTCCGGCGTTTCACCGTTCTCCCATCGATATCCCATGTGCTTTTGAGCTTCATGGAGCCCAGCCGATTGGTGCTGCTGCACTGCTGGGCCGCGAAGAAAGCGATCTTCTCCTTCGTGTTGCCGGGCTTCACCACGGCCCACACATCCAGAGGCCCTTCCCCTTCTTCTCCCTGATGGATCGTTGCCGACAGGACGTTTTTCTTCTCCCTGGCGCTCAGACCATCTGCCGGACCTTTCCCGTTCATATTGCACATAGTATTTGGATAAATAATTCCCAGAAGCTTTCGAGATGGACTCACAAGGGGGGGTTTGGGGAAAACGCTCAGTTTGGTGCAGTTGGTGGCGTATTTGTCTTCTCGGGGTGACCTCTGATGGGTCATAGGTGGGCCTCTGAGGGAGTCCTGGCTTATTTCTGATCGCTCTTTCCTCTGTAACTTGAGATATGGCTTTAAGTGCATACCAGAAACCCTAGAAAAACAGAAAGGGAAGAAATTATAGTTGCAAAATATGCCTGCCTGGAACAAGAGAAGGTGGCTCAGGGTAGGTACCAGCGTGCCTCCTACCCTTCATCAAGCAGCCCACACCTCCAAAGGAACCACATGAAAAAGGAAAAGCAGCAGCCAGGCAGCTACAGTCGGCCCTCGGAGAACAACTCGCATCTTGCAATGATTAAAATCTTAAGGACAGCAGAGATCTTCCCAATAGAGTAATTTGTGTCCAAGGAGTCCCGAGGTGAAATCCTATGCTTAAGTTATGTCCACGGTGCAAAAGCAGTGGCTCATTCTAGAGTCCAAGCAATCCTTCCATCCGTTCAGCCCCAACCCTGCTGTAAGGCACTCAGGGGTCACCGCGCTTACCTTGACCTTACCTACCAGCTACGAGGACTCTTTTCAGAAGATAATTAAAGCTAAGAAGGGAAATTAGCAAGTGTAAGTACACTGATCAGACATCCCAGCAGATTGCCAATCTCATAACACCACCTGATATGATCACAGAACCATAGAATGGTTTGGGTTGGAAGGGAGCTTTAAGACCATCCAGTTCCAACCCCCTGCTATAGCAGGGACACCTTCCTCTAGAGCAGGCTGCTCACAGCCCCATCCAGCCTGGCCCTGAATGCCTCCAAGGAGCAGCATCCATAGCCACACTGAGCAATCAGTGCATCACCAGTTCCAGTGCATCAGCACCCTCACAATAAACAATTTATTCCTAATATCTAGTCTAAATCTACCCAACTATGCCTATTATCCTCGAGTATATCGACACTGGCAGATTTGGCACGCTCCCTCTTGTGCTGCACATCAGATGCCAAACCAAAAAGTGACAGAAGCACCAACTCTGGCTGGACAAAACCACATCCAAGCAAGCATTTTTATGGTTAAGATCTAAGAGCTGGTTAAGAGAAGGAGACACTACTTGGACACTACTGCCCTAACAGCAGCACCACTCAGGCAATGGCCCTACGCCACTGGCCCCACTCAATTCATCCTTTCTGTTGCACCTCCATCATAATCTCAAACACAAAGCTCAAAAACACAGAAGCCCAGGGCACTGCCACATGGGATTCAATCATCAGGTGACTTCAGGCTCTTCCTCCAGGGTGAACAGATAAGCACATTGCTGAACGAACTACAGATTGCGTTTCCATGGCAATCTCTGAATTGTTACATTAAATGCAGAACTTTTTGAAATGAAGATCATCCATGACTGTTAGTTTAAAACCAGCACACTCAATGCCATCACCAGCTGGTGCAGATGCCAAACAATTTCCCCTTGCAGCCACCACCAAAATACTTTCAGGTACTGCATTTCTAGTCCTAAAAACAACTTTGAACTCCAAGTTCCCACACAGCCCCATGCGTCAGCCAATGCAGTCCCTCAATAACTGCTGAATAGCAGAATCACAAGTTGGAAAAGTCCTCCAAGGTCCCCAACACAACCTCACCCCACCATGCCCACGTCCCTCGTGCTGCAGCTCCATGGCTCTGAACACCCCCAGGGACGGTGACCCCAGCACTCCATGGGCAGCTGTGCCACTGCAGCACTGCTCCTCCTGAGAGGAAACAGCCCCTAACATCCAACCTGAGCCTCCCCCAGTGCAACTTGAGGTCATTCCCTATCACTAGGAACCCAGGAAAAGAGCATAACGTGCTCAGCAACGAGCATCTCTTCCCTTTCAGTTTTACAGGCAGAACATGACGTCACCCTTGCAACCAGTGCTAATGTCACCTTCCCTTCAGCAACAGACTGTGGGGATAAGAGAGCTCCCACTTCTGCACACACACACACCCAGTTGCTGGGTTAATTCTCTCCCCATGCCTTCTGTGCTAATTCCAGCTCTTGCTGGAATTGGGTCACCTCCCAGGTTCACTTTCCTCTGCAGAATGCAACTGAGCTATTTTGTTTCCCTTCTCAGTTGGATGCTAACAACTAAAATAACCTCATAAAAATAGAACTTTGGGGTGATTAAATAGAGGAGGAAGAGAGGATAGGAAATCAAGGCTGCTGCAAGTTTGCTCGAGCCTACTTTTCCACAATTCATAGCTGCTCAGTCAGGCCACCAACACACCTGGGTCAGTGTCCAGGCCAGAATCAAGGTGCAGGTGAAAGGCAGCAGAGAAGCATGCCTGCAGTCTTCCCTTCCCCACTCAGAAGGGCATTTTGGAGGTGCTTTCAGGAGAAAAGCTGTGGTAGCTGCTCACAGCAGTACCCTGGGGGAAGAAAAAGTGAAGGCAATGCAACACACAGCTTTCCACCTTGAAATCCCAGGAGCTGGGAACGAAAGATCAGATTTCCTTGCTGAGTTTTCACGCCAGGGTGCTTGAAAGATGAGCTGAATTATGTGCTAAAAAGGCTTTCTTCGAACCATTTTCAGGAATCCAGCAGGACAAATCACTTCAACACCCTTCATTAAGGGAAAACTGTAAATGAAGGTGAGCTCAGGTATTACATGAATGAGAACAGGACTGAACTGGTTACCCAGCGGGCTCGGAGGACACGTTTAGCCAGCAAAGTTGGTTCAGCTGCTCACAGCTATTTCAGGTCTACGGAGAAAGACAAAGGATAAAGTTATGCCTCACCTACTATGGATTTCTCATTTAAGGTTATATTTCCTCCTGTGTTCCAGTTGGTCTCCAGCTAGGCCAACAATACCATTTAAGGTTGAAAAGTTACAATTTGCATAACAAAATTATGCCTTAGTCAGAAGTTTTACTGCCAGAATAATTGCCTCATTTGAATTCAGCATTCAGTTCATTGCACTGTTTTAATGGATCCAGATTTAAAGAAAACCTTCCTTTAATAGTTTCAGACAGCTACAGACAGCTCCATCTGAATGGCACTGCCACTTCCCTTCAAGTTTTCAGGCCAAGAGGAAGAGCTTTTAGTGGCAGATCTTACCTGAAAGCATCACTAAGAGAGAAGCAAATCCTCACCCCCACCACTTACACACTTTGCCATGAGCATTCAAAATTCATCCTTCTTAAAGACGAAGAACATCTTCCCCATGCATCAGCAGCACGTTTCATTCCTAGCTCCAGGAATCAGAGCAAGGATTTCCAGCAGAAAATGCTCTGAACGCAAAGCAGAGCCCAATCCTCTCCTCTCCCCCCAGTGCCCACCCTATTTCTGCACCACTGCAGTGCTGGCATGCAGAGAACTGTGGCAGCTGCAGGTTAAGTTTTTAAGTTTTTTAATAAACACCAAACATAATTGTTACAAGGTGAAGTCACTGACAATTCCCTATCATACTTGAGAATAATTCTGTTTCTTTTCCCCTAGTCTGTAAGCCATCAAGCTTTCTCATTCTATCTTTAGAGACAGTGACTCTTCAGAACTTCATGGCATAAACATAAAAGATCCTCAATCCCACATGTGTGGTTTTGAAATGCTGATAAGAGAGAATTCTGCCAAGAACCATCAGCGCTGAAACAACTGGCAGCGCTGCCTTCACACTGTTATTCCATCCTTAAGCCAACAAAGTGAGAGGACCAGGTTGTTTTTTGTTTTAATTTCTAATCAGCCATGTCTCAGGCACATAAAAACAGGATACTTACAGTTCTGGAATGACAGTGCTGTTTTTACAAGTTTCAGTACAGCTCGTTGTCACTACAGTTGGCTCCTATGCTGGACTGGTGCATAAATGCAAGCCTTCATACATGCACACACCTCCCCTCTCTGTGTGGAAGGGAAGATCCATTAGCTACTGCACCAAGCCAACCAGAATCTTTCTGCATTTATCTACATCACAACAGCCTAAAAACCAAAGTATTTCCTTGAATAGAAACTGGAGGAAAAAAAATAATCAATACAAGAGGCTCCACTTTCACAACTCACAGAATTGCAGGGGTTGGGAGGGACCTCAAACGACCAAGTCCAACCCCCCCACTACATCAGCACCCCACCATAGGTCGCACAGCTCAGTGCCCAGCCCTTGGCTACCTGCATAAAAGGAGACTCCACCAGCTCTCTGGGCAGCCTGTTCCAGCACTGCACCACTCTCACCATAAAGTTCTAGATGATTTTGAAGGTCCCTTTCAAACCATTCTATGATTCTTTGTTCAACAAGACCAGACCCAGCACCAACCCAAAGTCCTTCCTAGGGTCCACAGAAAGCCTACAGATCCCATCCTGCGCCTCGGTCAGGACTCCCAAAATGCCCTGTGAAGCACAAAGATTCCCTCTGGCCAGCAAAAACAACAAAACCAACTATGCTCTCAAACAGCACATTCACACTGTATGGTTTATGGGCAAATCACCAGAAGGTTTTATTAAGAAGAATCTTTCAATCGAAACCCCAAAAGTTCCCCTAGAAGTTCTGTAAGCACTCCAGTAGGCAAGATTTCCTAGCGCTGCTGACTGCGTGTGCAACTCTGAAAAACCCCTCAGGACACACAAACACAAGGCACCAGCCAGAAAAAAAAAGGCAGCAGCAATGAAAAGCCACACCAAGAGCAACCTCTGGCAGGGCACATCTCTTCCCTGGCGTCCCATCTCTCTTATGGGAAACTTTGCTCCTCTGCAAAGAACACTGACAATTACCAAGGACTGAGCACTGCACGTCAGTTCAACCACGGTCAACCACTTGTTATTTCTGGAAGTGCTCAGTGGGTGCAATCTCCAGTACCACTTCCATCCCCTTTGCACTGCTGGGGCAGGCAGAGCAGACAGAGAGCTGCTTCAAAGGCATTCTGCAGATCCTGCTGGGGTGGGAAAGTCCCAGCTAAGAGCCAGGGTGGACGACACTCTGCTACTCACTGAAGCTTGTTCTGGTGCATGGCAAGCATCCAAGCCTGGAGAGAGGTGGGTTGGGAAGCACGGTGCTCCAGAGCAGGGGCTGGTGGGACTGTAGCAGCTGTGGAGGCATCTGGTTTCTTGAAAAAAACACTCCCTTGCAGCACTACCTTCAGACTGAAGCAACTGCTCCCAATCCCTTTGTGCCTGCCTAACTGCAACACAGAACGGCCTGGGTTGCACAGGAGCACAGTGCTCATCCAGTTCCAACCCCCTGCTGTGTGCAGGTCGCCAACCAGCAGCCCAGGCTGCCCAGAGCCACATCCAGCCTGGCCTTGAATGCCTGCAGGGATGGGGACAGAGAACAAGCAAGGAGTATCACAGACCACGCAGCTAAACAGGTCTCTTTTCACAAGACTTGCCAGTGTTTTGGATGTAGGTCGCTCTGAATGTACTGCCTCCTATTTATTTCCATGGAAACTCCAAGAGATACAAAGAGCACACTAACACTATGTGATAGAACAAATTCTCAGCTACAAAACACTGTTTTTCAATGCAGTCACCACCATAAGCTCTGCAGGTTTGCCAACGATGCACAAGATCCAGAACCAGCAGAGGTGACCCACTGTCACTGCTGCCACATCCACTGTTTGGTCTCCAAATAGTTTGGTTGTGGATGCCCCATCCCTGCAGGCATTCAAGGCCAGGCTGGATGTGGCTCTGGGCAGCCTGGGCTGCTGGTTGGTGACCTGCACACAGCAGGGGGTTGGAACTGGATGAGCACTGTGCTCCTTTATGGCTCCATAAACATTCACTGATGAATGTCAGTGGGTGCCATTATTTCTGCATGGAGGAATTCAATGACACACCTTGGCTTCACACACACTTCTGTGTCAGATGCCATTTCATCAGGCTGCCCCTCCACTGCCCATCTGCCAACAAAATTTAACAGAATATTGGTTGAAAGGTTCAATCTCTACTGCCATACCATCAATTTCCACCTGCAATGTTGTGGGTCAACACAAGAAAAATAGGAGGCATTGCTCTGGGAACAGCCATTGTATAAAGGCACATACCAGATGACATACAATCAATTATTCATTGCAGCCTCAGGAAGCTCAGATCTCTGTTCCCTACTTTCCAATCACGCCACAGATGACACAGGGATGACAGAAAGAGAGAAAACAACTGAAAGAACTGGAATTCAGAGTCATCTCCAAAAGCATCTCCAAAGGCATTCAGCACAACGATGATGGCAGAGCAAGCATCCCACACAGACATTCCCTAACTTTACAGAAACTCTGATGTTTCCTTTTGGAAGCATTATCTTTCCACAATGTTCATTCCCTCTTTTATTAATTGCAACTGGACCAAGGTCATTTTTAATACAATGGGGTAAGAAGTTTCATCAGGTAGTTAAACCAGCACTGACACTATTCAGACTTTAGCACATACAGAATGTGCACACATGAAAGGCTGTAGGAATTATCCTTGGACTGAACTATCATTAAGAAACGCAGGAGCTCAAAAGGAAGGATAAGCAGAAACAGAAGGAAAGCCACCAGTTTGTTCTTTTAAAGTCAAGCCTTAAAGGATCCAGTTCATGAAGCTGGCCACACTGTGGTATAGAAGATTTCTCTGCAGACAGAGTGACCCAAGAGGCATTCTTCCAGGAGTCAAAAGGTGTTCTCATTATAATGAACACATCCCAAATAAGAAAAACTCCAATTGAACACATTTCTTCTCCAGGAAGGATACAAGAAGTAGCCATAGGTTTCAAGTCTTCAGATCAATACTGCCTGGAATGCAGTGCTGCATTGGAGAAAGACTGTGGCATCTCCAGGCCTGCTGGTCTTCCTTTGTGTAAAACAGTGCTTTGAAAGAAAAGAGGATTACAAAGACATGGGGAACAGGGAAAAGAAATAATACAATATGTCAGACCAATCTGAAGGTTTTCAAAAGAGCAGCTTTCTTGAAAAACACTCTGATGTGGTTTATTCATATGGTCTCAGGAGGCACACGAAGATCTACTGGGTAAGACAGATTTGACAAAAAACTGTTGAAAGGCACAAAGAAGCTGTCTTAACAGCAGAGAGCCCCAGGTGATGAACAATAAAACACCAGCCTCAAAACCAAACACACTCCTCAAGAATCAGCCTGGAGAACCCTTGGTTTTTCTTACAAACGGCCTCAACAACAAAGCTACAGAAATGAAAGACAACGCCAACAGGGATGAGGTGCAAAGCACTTGGTTAACAGAAACAGGGCAAAATTCTGAAGTACAGATGGTGATACAGCAGAAGGCTGAACACCAAGAAGCACAGTTTTCACTGAAAAAGGTGCTGCAAAGGCACATCCATGACACAGAGGCAAATGAAGGCAGATCTGTGACACTGAAAAGCACTCCTATAAGGTCTCCCTTGGAAGTCAGCACACAGTTATTGTCACGGCTCAGAGGAGATTTACCTAGACTAAGAACAGGCACTGTTCAGTAAGCTACTAGAAAGCACGGGGCCACTGGGCACAGCAAAACATAGGTGAGGGGATACAGCTGCAGTTTACAGAACACAGCAAAAAAGGTAATATTGAAAACGAGAGGAGGTCCTTATACAAAATAGGTAACACCACCAGCTCAAATTAAGCTGGCATGAACATTCGTTCTGGGGATCGAAACGTTCCTAACTGCACAGTCAGAGCTGTCATCTTCAGTAATGGTTTAATCTATGGGAGAAGAAAAGACAGAAGTCCAGCCTAAAAACAAGTTCACCCAAAGGATTACGAGACACTCCTTGGGAAAGCAAGGAGCTGGGCAACCAAGGGAGTCCTTTCCAGCCCTAAATTACTATGAGACTAACATAGCAAGTATGTGTTGCCTACACAACCACAAGGAACAAAGGTTAAAGTTTACTTTAAACCCACATGAATTTTGGAAACGAGAAAGCTGCCTCTCTTCCTTCAGATTGAGGAAGTCTAAGAGTCTTGGTTTCAAAGGAGATAGGTATTTTTCTGTTGTTCAAACTGGCATGTTCTTTCATTTGCATAAGCACAAGTTGTTCTGTACGGTGTTCCTATAACAAGGCACAGTGAGAGGCGTTCACTTCATTGTCACATAAGCACAAGTGTTTGAAATCAGTCGTGCATTTCTTCTTAGCAAGAGACACAGGAAAAGGAGCAATACAAAACCTCAGATTAAGCCAATCCAGTTACTTACTCCATAGTAAGACAAACCACAACAATGACTGCCAGCATTTCCACTGGCTGTAAGCTGACTGCATATTTTAAAGCCTACTGTGATGAGCTACTCTCCAAAATACTTCAAAGCCACATTCCCAAATTAATTTACAGCTGTTACTAAAAAGAATTATAATAAAAGGTTTCTCCAAGTACAGTACCACCTGTAGTTGTCATTATCAAACAACAGTGACAAAGAACATTTCTGCCCTCAAGCCATCACATTTTAGTTAAAGGCTATCGGAAAGTAAGGATTGAGACCAACTAAGTGACACACAAGAGGATAAGAAAGCAAGGAGAAGGCCAAATGGGTGCTACATGTTTAGCTAAAGGCAGGCCAGCTGCTCTGCTCGTACCGTTTGACTTGATGGAAGGTAGAAGATGAAGAATTCAGTGGTTCCCTGTGGAGGCCAGCTCTGCAGGAACTCTTCATCGTAACTCCCCCTCCAGCTAAGGCACGCCGTCACAGCCAGTCCATCCTGGTTCACATGCAAGGCTCCCTCCTCAGCTCTCCTCGCCCTGCACAGAGCTTCACAGTGTCTCTCCCACCTAGAAACTGAACAAACATGAGAAAAGTAGCATCATGTCAGAGTACAGCAGGGCACAGATACTGGGACAAGGATCCCTTCCCAAAAGAAGGTGAAGAAGGATAGAAAATACGCATAGATATAAATACACCACTACACATCGTAGATATTCTGCGTATACACAAACACACACCATGCAGACATGTCCACATACATAAATATAAAAAGAACTTATAAATATATAAAGAACTTATACAACATCATGCCATTACTGCAGCCAGAGTTTCTGAACATCGTTAAAATAGAAATGAACACCCCCAACATCACGTATGCTGCTGTGCTTATATGCAGCTACAGCCCTACCTGGGTACCTCCCATGGGACACGTTGTCCTCCAAGCTCCATGCAAACCACACACGCAAGCCCTTTCCTCTTGTTAGCACAGCATCAGGCCAGCAGTAAGATCTGATGCTGCCAGACAAGTTACGTTAGCGTTCTAATCAAAGTAACGTGTCCCCTTCATAGAGAACAAAATAAACATGCCACCACCAAGCTCCAAACCTTCTCAAAACTGCCCTGTCTTTGCATCACACACAGATAAGGCAGCAGATTTCACCAAAACAAAGCTGTTCTGTATCTCACTTGCCTTCTACGCCTTGTCCTTGGAGCTGACACGGCAGCGGTGCTGCAGCACGCTTTGACAGTGGAAGAACAACCACCACCAAATTGGAACATGAAACGTGTGACGCAGTTCAGGTGCCCTGGAAAAACTTGAATATTCAAGCCTGAGTTGCTGGTAGACTGCTTTAGTGATTGCTTCCTTCCACCTCTCTGATTGACTACGCACAGCAATGCCGTAACGCAGAACACTAACGATAAAGCCGTGGCCTCACAGTATTTGGGATCCAGTGCAGGTTGTTCTCAGCTCCAAGATGAGAGCCTCTCCCATCACCTTCTGCCCAGTGAGGTTCTGAATGCCCCCTCCCTGGAGGAGTTCAAGGCCAGGCTGGATGGGGCTGTGAGCAGCCTGCTCTAGAGGGAGGTGTCCCTGCCTATAGGAGGGTGCTGGAACTGGATGGTCTTAAAGGTCCCTTCCAACCCAAACCATTCTGTGATTCTATGATGATTCTGCAACACCTGGGGACTTCAGAGCAGCACCCACCTTTGCACTGTGCAAATCAACGTGGCTTACATCTCAGTGCTGCCACTGAATGCTCCTGGCCTGGGAAGCCCTCTCCAACTTTGCAGCCAAGCTCAGCGAAAGCGGTTAAGGATGATTTTCTCAGCAGAGAGAGAGAGAAGTTGGTTTACATCCAGCTGGAGTTGTGTGTTATAGGAATTTCACGATTCCTCCAGTGATGGGAAATGAGAGGTTAATCATTCACCCATGTTTGAGTAAGCAGGAGCCTAAAATAATACATAAAATATTATACAAATACATTCCAGTCCTTCACGAAGAAGTCTCTGCTGAGCTCTACACAATGCAAAGAAACACACTGAACTGAGAAGACAGAGGCATTGCACAGGCAGAGCTGGAAGGTGAGAGTGTGCCCTCTGCTCCACGAGATCAGAAAGACCAGCAGATAGAAGACATGGTCAAGAGCTACACGCATCACAGCTTTGTACTTAAACACCATCCTCACTAAACTGCCCAGAGCCTGCAACAAGGACCTACCTGCACGAGTGAAATCTGAGCACCAAAAAGAAAAATCAGGCATTTGGGATGTTTTTAGAAAATACATTTCTATAAACATATGCCCACTGCTTTATGAAAAATGAGAAGTTCAACAAAATCATTCCTTTCCCAGGAACCACCAGTAAGAGGCACTGAAATTCTGACTTCTATCCAAGCTTTTGTCTGGCTTCGCCTTCTGGCTTTACTGACACCAGCATTTCAGACTCAGCAGGAACTGTATCACAGAAACATTATTATATCCACACCCAAATAAATGCAAACATACAGTTTTAAGAATGCCAGTCACTTTTTCACTAGCTTAAACTCTGTTGATGTACCCCTGGTTGAGAGCACCGTGTGTTTTGTTGCAGTCCTGCTGCTTCGTAAATCAAAACATAAAAAGAGAAACTGAGAAGTGATTAAAAAAAAGATAGCTATATACATAAGGAAAAAACCTCATTTATAGCAGAGCCTGAAAAGCAAAAACATCATGCAAATTCACTCCAGTTGGGGTAGGCACAACCCCAATCCAAGCACAGGTATTGTATCATGGGATGCCATGCATTTAAAGAAGGGCCTAGCACCTTCTAGAGGAAGGCAAAAGCTGACAAAATCCATACAGACAAGTTCACAGTGCAGCCCAGATGAAAACACAGCTCCATACAAAGCATGCTTTTTCCCCTTCTTTAGCTGCTGGTCTATAGAAAAGAGCTGAAATAGACTATTAATGGCAGCAACCTACTGACAAATTCCCACTGTGTGAGTACTAAAAAGCTGTGCTTGTGAATTAAAAAAAAAAAAGGAGAAATAATCAGCATCCAAGCCAGCACAGAGATACTTACTGCCTCTTAGCTACCAGAGCATTTCTTAACAGAGGCTGATCCTTATCAGGAGATGCTTCCCTTCCTTGCTTAGTTTTGCAGAGTTGAGTGCAGCCTGAAAATCAAAATACAGATGCACAGAGAAACAGAACAGAAAGAGGAAAATAAGAAGCTAATCTTCTAGCTCTCCTTTCCTGAAACCGCCCCCAAACATATGCCTGGATGCATCAGATGTGGGAAGGACTCAGATCTTGGCAGCAGGAAGCATCACACTCTCAGCAGCGGACAGCAGATTGCTGGATGGTCTCACCAAACTCCCTACCTTACCATCATTTCTGAACTGCTCCTGCAGTATTAAGTAGCATGGAATCAGGGGGAAATCATCTGTGCAGCAATACACCACAGCTTTTGTTATTTACAGGCATTGCAGCAGTTAAAGCTTTACTGCAGGCGCAGCGTGTTTCCAGCAGCAACAGTAACTGCTGAAGTGCTCCAAAGGATGGGCTCGCTCCTTGAGAACATGTGCTTTCTAGGAAGGAGGCAGTGGCACAGGGACTGGCTCTGAGCAGAACCCCCGCTGTTGCTAAGAGCAGAACAGCCTCTGCCAGCCTGAGCAGCCCACCTCCAGACAGGGACTGGCTCTGGGATGCCCTCCAGCCACACAGCACCGTGGCACTGGCTCAGCTGGGCAGCAACCAGCACGCTCAGGAGGCAGAAGGAAGCAAAGGCAAGTCTTTCAAAAGAAACTCAGAAGAGTTAACACAGATACAGTCATTAGAAGAGACTTTAACCATCGCTGAGGCCTTATAATACAGAGCTTTGTTTGGTCTATACCCAGCAGTCAGCGACAGCTCCTGCATCCCAATGTTTCTGCTTTTTCATCCAATGCAGCGAGAATCTGGGATTCTGCACAGTGGATTCAACATATGCACTTCTAACTCCTCTTTAATCATAGCTTCTTTCTAAAGCCACTCCTTGAAGCATACCGTGAAAGGTGCCTGCCCTCAAAGGGGTTTTTATATTCCTTCCAGTCAATGGAAATAAACTTTTGAACACACAACATGTAGTGTTTCACTTGTAAGAGGAGAACAAGCACGTGAGCTCCAAAGCCCTGAAGCTGGATTGCTCACTGCTGTCAAACATCAGAACTTGAAGTCACCATCCCTAGAGATGAAAGGTGGAGATGTGGCACTGAAGGACAGCTTGGTGGGGCACAGTGGTGAGAGACTGGCAGCTGAACTAACTGATGGTGGTCTTTTCCAATGCGAATGATTCTATACCTGCTGCATTATCAAGTCCTCATTGTAATGAAGCACCACAGGGAGAGCCTGGCTCCCTTTCCAAGATCATGTCAATAAAGAATGAAAGGTTTTCAATTTATAGCTCCAGTGTTTTCCCCTCTTCAGGTGTGCTTGGTGTTGGAATGAACTAGCTGTCCCCTTTCCACTCAAAAGGGAAAATCTCAAAAGGGAAGAAGAAAACAAGCTCCACTGCACCTTACTGATGCTGTTTTTGTACTGGAAACGATCACAAAATGTTTCATTTGTTCAACTATTCCTGAAAGGCTTCAGCTGTCTTGCTCTATTTGGTTAGGGATATTATCTGTTGCTCAACTGGGAAGAAGAACTGGCTCACTGGATTTGTTCTGCTTGACCCCAGAGAAGAACAGAACCAGCATAAATCCATTATTTGTCAATTCCGCTGCAGCACTGATGACAAACACACAGATCACACATTACTTCACTCTCTAGAAAGCAACCACCTCCTTTGGCACTCACTGCCACTGCTTAATCCATGCTGTGTCCCGAATGATAAGCAGAGGGTAGCTGAGCACTGTTGCTACAGCTGCTGTGCTCTTGGGTTACTAGGTATGGGTAAAGACACTGCAGTGCATTTAGGGCCACGTGATCCATGAGCCACAGCTGAATTATTCAGCATATAAAACTAGATTTGTTTTGCCATGCAGATTGTGAATTAATGGAAGCTCAGCTGAATGGCTACTTTCTTGGGGCGAGGGGAAGGAGAAAGCTTCCAGAAGCCTTCCTATTATAGAAGCAATAGAGCTAGTTCCAAAAATAGTAGGCAAGCACTCCAAGAGCTCTGGAGACGTCGTGCCCTGGTTTTATGAGGCTGAAGCCTCACTCAATTGCTCCTCTACATGCAGAGGATGCTGGAAACGTCTGAAAGATGCAGAAATGACATTAAATTGGGAGTTTCAGGACAAACACCAGAGAGAAATCTAGACAGTCTAGATGAAAGAGATCAACCTGAATACCAACAGGGAGCAACCTGTCCCACTTTAGAGACAGACAGATAAAACCAGAAAGCAGAATCCTATCTTTCCTCAGGAACACAATGTTAGTTTGCTAAAGATCATGATTATTAGAACAGTGATGCTGCAGATTGAGACTGTCAACAGCAGTTGCATCACTCTGTTTTGCTTTTTGGATATTAGGGACCCTGGCTAGAGAGGTTCACTTGACTCATTTTGGCACGCATTTGGTAGATGTGTTTTTGCTGCAACAGCTAATAAATAGTCCATCACATGGCCTGGCTGACAGTAATCATGCACTGGTTAGCCAGCAATGGTTTGTTAGTGATCCAACAGGACAGCATAACCCACTCTAATTCTTAATTTTCAGTTTCTTTGTTTTGCAGCAGCACTTACACTACAATTGGAATAAACTACTTTGCAGTACTCCTCTGACTACAGATGTAACTCTGCACCTTTGTACTCCAGCACAGGACTACTTTTCTATTGGCACATCCTGAAATAGCATCAGGAAACAAATCCTCCACTTGACGCTCTAAGATAAAGTCTCCCCACAGCACAGCACACAGTGCACAGTGCTAAATAGGGTATTAAATGCTTCTAAAGCCACTAGATAGGCAAACGCAGCTCCTTCCTGCGAGCTTTGTTAATAAAGAGAACCCCACAGTAAGTGACTTGGTGTTAATCACTGTATTTATCAGCTTTGATGTTTGCTGAATATGGCTCCTTCTGGCGTGGATGAGCCTTTGGGATGACAGCTGTGCTCTGATGCAGACTGCCCCAAATGCTGTGTGCACAGGTCCAGCCCCAGCAGCTCAGCAGGGCGAGCTGCAAGTGATTTTTGTTCCTTTCTGCAGAATCACTCCCCTTAACCAAAGGGCTATGCAGCAGATTTCTCTGTCCTGTATCTTTCCCAGCAAAATCCAGTCTTTGAAAAAATAAAAGTGGATCCATTCAGCCAACTCATAGGAGAGCTGTCAACTTACAGTATTCACTTGCATTCCAAAAGCATCCCAATTTTTCTCAGTGGGCTCCAAAACTACACTCAGCAACTGGAAGCCCTGCTAGAGCAAGGGAAACAGTAGGTTAAAGATGACAGTGCTCACAGAAAAGTGCTTTATAAGTAACTGTGACATTTCTGTGCAGTATTTCTGTACTTGAAAATACCCATTTTTTGTAGTATATTCCTGAATCCACCCTGTTTTCATATATGGGTATCCCAGGCTGGATGTGGCTCTGGGCAGCCTGGTCTGGTAGGTGGTGACCCTGCACATAGCAGGGGGTTGAAACCTGATGATCATTCTGGGCCTTCTCAATCCAGGCCATTGTATCTTGCAACAAATTTGCACCTATGTGCCCCATGATTCGTCAGGAAATCTTAAGATCCTTTCAGATTTTCATTTGCTGCTGTGTAAGCCTGCCGACGGCCAAACTTCATACATTAATAGAAAACTATCTTTCATCTTGCCAGGATAACATAAAACGCTGCACTATGAAATGTGCAGTTTCCATGTCAGCAGCTTTCCACACTTAGGAAAGCAGTTAAACTAAGTACACCCAACTTCAGAGCAGCTGACACTCAATAGGAAGCTCAAACTCTTTTGCACCTAACATTTCATTGCTCAAGGCACCATTAGTTCTACTGAGGACAGCAAACTTTCAACAGAACAGATTTGTTAAGAGCATTTAGAAACAACCCACCCACAAACAGCACACCACCACCTACACCCTCTCAACAAGCATTGGATTCACTCCTTTCCAGAGGTATCTTTCTTAACAAAAAGAAGTTCAGGAAGAACAAGTTGCAATTTCTGACCGAAAAAATAAATTGCTCATTAACATGAGGTTCTAACATGGTCTACAGATGCACTAATGAAAAGAAAATGCTGTTCTGATATGTAACTTGTTTCAGGTGTATAGCTAGCCATATGCCACAAAACATACCCTAAAACTCAGAACATTTTCAGAGCATTAACTGCAAAGCAGCCTGGCCTTATACACCTGCCAGCTATGCAATCTGGGCAGCAACAAGGCACAACACATCCAACTCTGAACTGATGCATTTGCCTACATCCTAGTAACTGCTCTCAGAGAGAACACAGCCTGGATTTTGAACAGAGGCTGTTTCTATCAGTTAATCTCATGCCACTATTGCCCAAAACTCTTCACTGTGCTCCACTTCAAGGATCTCAACTCTACCCCAGCTGATCTGAGAACCCACCAACCTGTAATGAAAACAACTTCAAACTGTTATCGTTTCCTTCACTGCTTGTATCAGATGAAGATGGCAAGGTGTGAGGGACAGCTGGGGTGCTCTGTGTGGGACACAGCCAGCTCCACGATGCCTCCATACAGGGCATTGCCCAACAAGTGGCACTTCCAGGAGAATATACTGAAGAACAGGCAAAAAACACCACAAGGAAGGGGGGGAAAACACCAAGATTAGAGAATGAATGCCTGTACCTCCTAACAGCGTGAGGTTGAGCATGGGGAAAGGGAAAGGCATTAGTTTAATATTTCTCTTTCTGTTGCTAGCTCCTTACATCTATTTGAACCAGGAACAATTTAATATCCCCCCACACCAATAGGTTTTGCCCAGAACAGGAGTTGTGAAGCAAAGCCCCCAGGTATTCCAGACCCACAAGCAACGAAATTCAGGAGGATGATCTGGAGAGCAGCATCAGGATGCAAGCACGTTTCTCACTGCTCAACTGCTTCAAGAGTGCAGAACAAAGCCTGGTCAAGGAGACCAGAAAAGCCTTGGAGAGCCCAAAAGCACAGGCACACCACCAGTGACATGCTAAGGCTACAGATGATGACAGAAAAGCAATAGCATGTGCTAAAACTCAAAGTATGTGCTTGTTGGGTTTTTCAACAAATTCTTCAAAGAAGAATATACATGAAACACCTTCTACTGAAATAACTCAGCTATGGATAAGCTTGTTTTCTTGGCAAGTAAATGGCAGTACAGACCAGCATTAAATACAGTGTTTCTGGATGACTGCTTCAAAAGGCTGTTGAAATATCCAAGCTAATTCTGAAACCTACCAATCCTGTGGATCTTCAGATATTTTGTTACATTTTAAAGGCTTTTTCCATTAATAACTCAGAGTTCCTTGATGCAAAAAATAGTTTCCCCATTCTTCAGAGCCCTGCAGTCAAAACGCCTTGCAACACAACTAAATTTTTAGAAATTCTAAGCATAGCACAAATTCTGCCATGAATTCTTTTTTGAAAGGAACTAAAAATAGCATCTGCATTTTGGTATAGGTTGTGCATATTCAATTACCTCGTTAACTGCGAGGAGCTGTGCTGCACATCTCTCACTTCTCACCCTCATCTTCAACATCCAGCGACCTGTACCTGCACTTGAAGGCTTGTTAATGTGAAAGTATCTTCATCAGCAAGAGGAACAAGGAAAAGCATGCTCTTATATAGCTCAGCGCTCCTCCCCAGTACCAACAGAATCCTAGAATGGCCTGGGTTGCACAGGAGCACAGTGCTCATCCAGCTCCAACCCCCTGCTGTGTGCAGGTCGCCAACCAGCAGCCCAGGCTGCCCAGAGCCACATCCAGCCTGGCCTTGAATGCCTGCAGGGATGGGGCATCCACAGCCTCCTTGGGCAACCTGTGCCAGTGCCTCACCACCCTCTGGCTGAAAAACTTCCTCCTGAAATAATCCTGTCTTTTCAAGGTTCCACCTCTAGAACAGAACATTAGAAATGCAAATGAAAATAAGGAAACAAATCAGCAGGAGATCAGAAAAGACAGAAAAACAGAGCACCCCAAACTGTTTTTTCTGCAGAAGGGCAATTTAACTGCACCAGATATCAGGCTGGGGACTGTTAGTTTGCTGTGAAACCACTCAGCACATTTTTAGGCTTCCCAGCAGAGCAGCTGTTGTGGTGCTCACAACAGAAGAACATAACCTTGCAAATTAAACATGCCAGCTCCAGAGGTCCTGCTCATTGCACTGCCTTTTGTCAACACGTTGCTACCAAAACCCTTCCCTGCAAGCCAGCTGCATTCTGCTAGCCTGAGAACTGAATTACCAAAGTAATAACCAAGCTGTATCAGCTGCATCTCTCAGCGTTTAACATCTCGGACTAATTTTCTGTGAGCCTGCAGGAAATAGTTTCTAACAGCTCCCTCAAGAAAATAAGCTACAAGCTGGAGTTGGTGTGGGTTGTTTTTTTTTCCCCATTCTGAGCCATCTCTGCACTATTTCATAGCTCTGATAATTGTACCACTGACTAACCTCCAACTGGGAATAACTGTTTTTATCATCACTATTAAAAACAGTCCCTCACACTGTTAGGAATCTGGAAAGTCACTGTAGCTGCATCCCACCCTTCAGCCTCTCAAAACACTACAGAGCAATGAAAATATGTGCTGAAACCAGAGGATCCCTGTGCTGAGCACCTCCTGTAATTTGGGGGTAATTACAGCTGCTTCTCAGAGAAGGCAGCCGTGGAAATTTGATTACTGATTTTAGAGGGGCAAACGATGTGAGATCTCATAAAGGAAGAGTGAACTTTTAATGTTTCATACTGGACTGGGGAAGTTGAATTATTTTCAGAAGTGCAAGGTGGGTGCTATCAAACCTCACACATTCACCTAACCTCATAGCTGATGGTTGCTTTGGGTTTCAAAGCGTGAGATCCATCTGCAGTTCTCATCTCCTGATCCCACACTTCCTTGGTTTTTACAGATTAGGCAGAAGAGTGACTGATGGCATTCAGAGAAGCTGCGAGATGCAAGAAAAAAAACCACAAAACAAAACAACAGCATCAAGAACAGCAGATTTCAAAAACAGCTTTTAATTATTTGAAGGTGCAGCTGCCAAGCAGACAGCAGAGGCTGTGCATCACGTACAGACAGGGAAGTTCCCATGGGCTTATTCCTCAGCCAATTACAGCGGATTAACCTATTAGTAAGAGTAAAATATTTTTGTTTGGACTCAAGTTTCAGTGACCTGAAAAAAATCCCTGCCACTCACAGTCTGACACGCAGGATCAGCAGTCTGTTATATCACACTTCCAGTCATCACTGCCCATAAACACACCCTACAGGAGACCCCTCCCTCTTGTTTAATGCATCTTCTGTCATCAGTTCCCTCACGGAGATTAACGTTCTGCTTCAACTACCATTTATACACCTGTTAAAATCAGTGCCAGTGTTAAACAGCAGCACCAAGTGCCCCTCAACCTTTATGCATCCCCTCACACAACCCCCCAGGTGCTTCATATTACACACTTCTGCCTCTGTGAGATGTCCTTGTCCAACATCTGTCAAACAGCAAAGCATCGCCGCAGAGCAGAGCAGCTTTCCAGGATCCCTGTGCTCAACACTGGGTGTGCCTACTTTTGTTTGGTATCAAGTTCATTCTGCTGGCTCCCTTACACGGATAGTTAAGCTTTTCCCCCACCTCCAAAAACATCTGTTCTTTTTCTAAGTTCTCCAGACTTCCTTCCCCTTGACCGTATCACAAAGACTCTCTTTTTAGCAGGGCTGCCTTCTTGATAGCCCATCACCATTATCTTGTTGTTCATTGCCAAGCCATGCAGAACACTAAATCTTGCTGAGCTTCCAGCCCTTTCAGCTCCAGGCCAGGCACCAAAATTCAAGCATTCTGATGTAGAGAGAGGGTTGCTAAACTCCTTCCCTGTTTCTTAAACACTCCACAGCTTCCTGTCCTGGGAGGCAACCAAACTGCTGTAAGAAATGCCAGGTTCTGTTCAACATCCTCGATCCCTGTGACACTGAACACTGAAAACAATTAGGTTCCTTCCAAATCTTGCCCTGTAACAGCTTTTATTCCAGGAAGTGTAGAGATGAGTGTAAATTACTTCAGCACGAAGGAGTTTGAGCTGGTCACTTGCTAAATCCCACAGCAATTCAAGTGAATGTTCAGGCTTGGCACAAGCAGCCAAGCACACAGCACAGTGTTACCCCTCAAATCCCCACTGTTCAACCTCAAGGCGCTCTCGCCCCCCCCCCCTTTATTTTTTTTAAGGATGCATCAGCTGATGACTGAAAGTGGAAATGCTTCATTTAGCACTTGTTCAACTGCTCACAGCATGCAAATAAAACGCCGCATTGTGCAAAAGTCATTCAGCCTCCCCATCCGTAGATATGAGCAATGGAACTGTGTCCAGGAAAGAGAAACTTGGAGCAGCATGCAAATATTTCAGTCCTTCACTCCCAATATTCACATACCAGGCTGAAGCCCACATCAGTGTCACGCAGAGGGGTGACCACGTTGAGAAGCTGTTGCACAGAATGAGTGGGAAAACAACCATTATCTGTCTTTGCCCCAGCACTGCACCCTTTTATTTGTAGTTATTACTGCAAACTGCTTTTTTTTTTCTTCTAGACAATGGTTGTGTTATTATAGGTACCTTCATGCCGTGCCAAAGCACATACACACAGCAATTCAGAACAATCAGCCTTGTTTTCATGGGAGCAAAGGTTGCGGCCAAATGAAATGGGTGGAGATCACATTAAACAATCTTGGAATCTGCTAATAGGATATAGGAAAATGTGACCATAATGCAGATGCAGAGTTCCCCCTTCCACCTTCCAATATCATGGATAAAATAAAAGCTTTGGAAAACCAATTAAGCTATTTGTACACTATGCAAGAAAAAAGCTGTCTCAGTACACTAACAAGTATGCCAACGAGAAGCTCTCTGAAACAACACAACCAAACATTGACCTTTCAAAGGTCTGAAACCAACAAGCAAGTTCCCCCAGCCCAGATGAAAAGCTTGTTGGTTTCAGCCCCTGCTGAAAAGAAACAGGATACCTGCTGGATGCCTGCTTATCCCCTGTAAACAGAAGCTCACTGCGCCGAACGTTCCTGCCTTAAAGACATCATCACATCCTCCTCTGCCTGACAGGGGAGTTTTCATACTGAAACACCTCGCTTGGTCAGCCGTAACCTGCACTCCCCTTGCTGGCTTTTGAGATGTGCATTAGTCAGCTTTCACCTTCACAAATCTGATCGTGCCTCCGCATGATCGTACACTGAAGTCATGTCCTTGAGCCTGTGACATCAGTCTGTTGCCATGGAAATGTACAGGGCAGTCCAAAATTCAGTATTATGGCATCACTGCAGGATCAGGCAGCAGATCAAGCCAACGCCCCAGAGCTGGTTAATGCAGCACAAACAGCTGAGACATTGCAATCTCAGTGCTACAGTCCAACTGCACTTTATCTTAATATTCTTCCCAAATAGGGCTTGAAGCCTCTTGTCAAGAAAGATGACCCAGGCTGTCATTAACATCATGACAAACAGGCCAGCCATGACGCATCACTGAAGAAGGGCAATATGTTTCCAGGGACGGCCACGAAGGACGAGGGAAGTTCAGTTCTGTGAACAGAAGCTACCATCTGTTCCTACAGCAATACCAGACCTGCCTGGAGAGATCTTTCACAGAGAAACAAGGGTGGTCCCCTCAGCACACGGATCAGGTAGTAGTTTACACAAAGCTTTTCTGGAAATAAAAGAGTGCAGTGTCACACTTCCGTCACCATTTTGGAAAAGAAGGCATTACATAAGATGTGGATCTTCACATTGAGCTTTGGCTGTGAACCAAAGATCAGTCCATCATTAACCCAACCTATAACAGAGTAGTTTATTAGTTAAAAAAGGGTGGTACCTTCAAACAGCTGTTATTCCGTGTAGTGTTAGACATTACAGTTCTGTAGGTTTCCTTGCACACTCACGAGAATCACATTTCTGAAGAGCAAAAGGGAAGGAAAAAGGAAATTAGTTACAAGTTAATGACTTGCCAGCCCCTGAAACCAAAAAGTCTGCCAGTTTAACACAAAAAGCCAGTCCAGGAACACTCTTCATTCATCCCGTTGCTAATGGTATACAGGAACCACCAGGACAATGCTGACAGTCAGAAAACCACCAATTACAGAACCACAGAATGGCCTGGGTTGGAAGGGACCTCAAGGATCACGAAGCTCCAACCCCCCTGTGCCACGCAGGGCCACCAACCTCCACATTTCATACCAGCCCAGGCTGCCCAGGGCCCCATCCAACCTGGCCTTGAACACCTCCAGGGATGGACGGGGCATCACAGCCTCTCTGGGCAGCTGTTCCAGCACCTCACCACTCTCACAGCACACAACTTCCCCCTGACATCCAACCTCCAGCTGCCCTCCTTCAACTTCAAACCATTTCCCCTTGTCCTGCAGTTGTCAACCCTTTCCAAGAGTTGATTCCCCTCCTGTTTGTAGGCTCCCTTTAGGTACTGAAATGCTGCAATGAGGTCAATTAGAAGGAGTCCTCAGTGTTAACCGAGCAAATACACCCCAAAGAGAGTCCAACTGCCATCAAAGGCAGCTGCTTGCCACCAGGGTAAATCCTACTGGGAAAAAGCTACTTCGAATCCACAGGTACCAGGCTGCAGGGACTACAAAGTGGAAGTAGAAAGCTTGAAGCAGCAACTCCAGATCCCTTCCTTTAGCTGCTCCTCCATTCACACTGAGCACAGACAGGGGTCTGGCTGCTGATCTCCTCAACACCCAAACCCAGGACCTTGCAGCCCCATTGCTGCTGCCATTACTAGGTCTCCATGCAAACACAGCCACTCCCTGTGCACTCAGCCCATTTCAGTTCACCTCCTTCCGCTTTTTCTTAGTAATCCACACGACTTCTGTAGTAACTCAATGCTTCCTCCTGCAGAGCTGACCTCCATCCTTCCCATAACCTCAGACGCACCCATACTTTCTTCACAGTGCCATTAGAGAGCTGTAGGCACAACAAGGAACACTCAGTGTTCTCGGCATAGACGTAACCCTTACCTGCTCCTAACCCCCCCCCGCCCAGGTCCCTGGCTATAATTAACCCATAGTGTGTTATCTAACACTAAACGCAAGCCTCAGGGCTGGGAACCATCATTTATTTGTCTCTGCAATGCCACACACCCCAGTGGTGTTGTATAAATAAATTCCACAACCTGTTTGAGTGTGAGTCTGAGCTTGATTCAGACCTGAATTATACCAGGTTTCTGAATGTACAAACAGCTCTGCTCAACTCCCTGCTCTCTTCAGCAATGACGACTTACGCAATTAGCCACCAGCGCCAAACATCACGACAGCTAATTGCTGCTGTGGACCACAACTGCAAGGAAAAACACAACGTTTAAATCCCTTCGCTTTTAAATACAAATTGCAAATTACGAAGGGATGAACAGCCTGCTGTCATCCAGAAGTACGCGCCCTGACAAGTGCCACGTGCCAATGCCACCTCAGCCACCAAAGCACTCAGACCTGCCCCAGCCTCAGCCCTCACACACCCGATGCGTTACCCAGTTCCAAGGCTGAAGCACTGCAGGAGCAGAGATTCTTGGGGCAACCTGAAGCGAAATGGATTTCAGACCAAAATAAAGCCAGTAGGCTTCATCTCCATGGAGCTCCTGCAACATAACATAGGCTGAGCAAGTTACTTAGGCTAGAAGTCCTTCTCATTAACGACCTAGGAATTTACATTTAAGCCAGATAGTGTTTTCTCTTTCCTAGATCACTGATGCTATCCAGCCCTGAAAAATCAACCCAGCTTCTGCAACAAGGAAAACTTGCTCACATGTACGTGCCAACAGAAATATATGTGATTTCTATCTATCCCAGATCCACGTTAGACTTTTTCCCAATAAATTCTCTGCTAGTAGATAATTTAACTTCAGCTTACTTTCTACATTCAAGACAGATCACACCCCTGTGATGGATGCTGAAGCTTTCTAGTAGAACCAGGCATCCATCCCAGCTGACAAGCACCAAAATGCAAAGACCTGCAGCCACTCAGCATCCTTTTCCCAGTCTGTACGCTGGCTGCAGCAATCCCACATGGCTTCAGGTTGCTCGGCAGAGCAACCACACCTGCAAGGCAAATACACAAAAGGAAGGAAATACTGAGGGCACAGTTCAACCATCAACAGGTAAATAAAGGCCTGGGAAGATCCAAGGCTGGAAGGCTGCCAGCAGAAGGTTAGTTAACAAGCTTCAAGAAACCGAGCACAGAGAAGGACAACTTCACCATCCCAAATAGCCACGGGAGCCTTATCAGCTCACACAGACCCCAGAGCAATTCCCAAATACCAAGTGCAGCGTTGGCAAGTCAGACAGACCATTTGGGGAAGCAGGACTTGCATAAGGATCACGTGGCCAACAGCTTTCTGAAGCAGCAGTGGCCAAGAACAAGCTGAGTCAGGGAGCCTTGCTTCCAGAGTACATATCAGGCTTCAATCTTGTTCCTCTTGATAATGCCCAACCCAACCTGCCAGCCTCCTGTCCCTGCAATATCCATGGACAAAAGCAAAAGCAGAGCAGCGTTCAGCTACAGCTTTCCAAAGTAGTATGTCATTTTTTCACAAAAAGCAATAAATGCCTCCTTAAAAAAAAGGTGATGCAGTTTGTCTCATTAAGAGACCCATATTGTTCTTATCAAAGCATGGACCCACTCCAGTGCACTATGTATGCAGCAGCTTGCAAAGCACGTGTGGGTCTTTTTCTCTCCGAAAGCCGCTCAACCAATGCAAGACCTGACCAGGGGGCCTCACACTCTCTAATTATTTGAAATCCACCATCCCTTCACCTTCAGCTATTCCAAGAGCTTAATGCTGCAGCTGGATCAGTACAGTGTTATTCTACACGACCAATCCAGCAGCCAAGTTACAACCAACACAACCAAGCCCAAAACTTCAGAAAAAAAATATAATAATCTATCAACATAAAAAAGCACATTACACTTTCTTTCCCAAGACACTTCACTCGTCATCAAATATCTGTCTTAGTGCGTTACCATCCTCCCATCATCCTGACTCGAGTTACCATGCTTACAGCAAGAAGCAGCCAGAGCCAAGAGCACTGCCTCGAGTCCAAGCACAGCTTGCAAGAACAGACCCCCTTTGGGGCAGTGACAGTTGAGTTCAATTTAATTAAAAAACAAACTACATTTCCATTCGAGTCAAAGTCAGAGACAAAGAACTGTACACAGCTCAGACTGCACAGTCAGCTGTCTCTATAGGAATAGATCAGATTAAACAGCCCTGCAGCAGTCCAAAAAGAAAACGTTACTCGGACAAGAGTTTAAGCACTGACCAGTCCTACGCTACCCAAGATCCAGGCATTTCTCTGTGGTGCCTCATGGCCGCAAGCAGCAAATTTCAGAAGCACCATCTTTCTGAATCATCAGTTCCAAGGAGCTGTTTTATCAGGATTCAAACCGATGCACAAACGCACTGTTATCCTGTTTCAAAGGAAGACAAGGAGTCCTCCCTAAAGCTCTGCCACTAATTCTCTTTTGCATCACATGGGATGCATTGAGGGCCACTTCTCCCTCCGCTGGGGAACAGAACCGATGTGGTTCAGGTACAGGCTGTTCCCCAAGCCCACTCATACTGCAGGGCTCCTGTTCTATGGCAGCAGGCTGGTGGCAGAGGCTGACTCCAGCTGTTCAATTTGGCTATTCAGGACCTAATGCAGACAGAAATTCATTCACGCATCTCTGTGGAAGCAAATATCAACCAGTTAGCATTCCGTTTTCATTTAAATCTTTTAGGACAAATAACAAGAGCACTATGTATCTTCGCCTGGCAAAGCTCTAGGAGAAACCTCACCTGAAGCTGCCAGGCAAGAAATTTTAGGATACCTTTGCTACATACCACTGCAGACACACCTCCAGCACACACAAAACCCAAAGAAGCATCACGACAGCTGAAAAAAACTTTGCCCTGGCTAACATTCATGCAATTAAATTACAGTTTCACTCCAGGGAAAAAGGAGAGAGCACTTAAGTTTTGTTTAGATTGAAGCGCTGCAAGCCATGCCGCTTATCTGCTATCAGAACAGACTGCAGGGCTGCTCCGGTGATAATTCAGTAATGAAGTAACTGCAATTGGAAGGTATGCAATTAGGCCCATCCACTCCCCTCCTCTCCCCCCAAAAAAGAAAAGGAAGCACAGTCTTATCACATCTCCTCCCAGCTCTGCTACCCCCACCACTTAAAATACCTACAAAGCAAAGTAGAGCTGTCACAAGCTGCTAACAAGCCTGGCTTGGCCTGGCTGGCAGACCAAAGGAGGCATTCTCAGCATCTCCTCAGAAAGAAGTTACTACTTTACTTAGTGGGACGCCGTTCTCAGGCACCCACACACATTCATATATTAAGGTTAACATGCCTGTTTTGGGCTGCTCCAGGAAAAGCACCAGGAAAATGAAAAAACATGGCTGCTCCTGCTAATTTTAACTGTTAGCATCTGTCACCAACCCTCCGGGAGCCAAACGTGACACAGGTGGCACTCCATGGCTTTGCTGACTCCAGCCTGGACACTGAGCTGATGGGTTGACAGCTGGACTAGGAGATCTCAGTGGTCTTACCCAACCTTAATGATTCCATGGTTCTGTGGTATGTTGGCTTATTTTACCTGAACAACCTGCACCCATTTTCCCTTACAGAGCTGCACATTGCTGCCTAGGTTTTTACCATTTACCCTGAAGCCTATAGCTGCCATATCACTGGACACCTTCTAGCAATCAGGTCAGTTGTTAAAGCATAACCAGCGAATCGTTAGGAGAACTGCTTTAGTCTCCTGTCTGTGACATCTCACGCACCATCAGCACAGGGAGCATCTCACCACTCAAACCATTCCGGGCTCCCATTCAGAAGACTGCAGTGCTGTATCAAAAATGAACTCTCCACAAGTTAGAATCACAGACTCATTAAAAGCT